TACCATGTCCAATTTTGGATGATGTATCAACAAATTTGAGAGTGATTTCTTCCAAAGCCTTTCTGCTAGTTTATGGAACAAGAGACTTTCTCAACAAGACGATTCTCTTCTTTGGTCCAACAATACCTCCCTTGAGCATGAGGAAATCGTTTCTAATTTCACCATAGTGTGGGAAACCACCCAATGGAGTGATGGCCTTTGAAGTCAAATCAGCTTCGGTAGATGCAGTGTTTTTGTCTCCGGCAGCACCAATTCTGTAGATCTTTTTGTTCATTTCAGTTCTGTGATGGTAACCCAATTGACCAGTTCTGGCAACACTGTATCTGACATTGGCTGGATGCCATCCTCCGATACAACCAACTCTTCTCCAACCTCTATGGGTTTTCTTTTGTAAATGCTTAACACCAAATCTCTTGATGACACCAGCAACTCCCTTACCCTTGGTGACACCGAGAACGTCAATTTATTCGTTTTATTTGAAGACTTAATCTACTTTGACTTCCTTTTCTAATAATCCCTTGGCATAGTTAACTTTTTATTCTGTTGTGCCTCCATTGACTTGAACTTCAAAGACGTGATTCTTCTTTTATCTCAAGTTCAATTTGCTCATTTGAGTGTGAACAATGACTCTGACAACTTAGCAATATCTAAATATTATTTTATTTTATTTACTTTACGATTCTTTTTAATTGTGTTTCCAAATTCTTTGGCTCAGCATTAGCTTTATTGTAATTAGTGAAAGCCTTCTTCTTTGAGTTTATCCAATTCTTATAGAATCTTCTCAAAGTATCCTTGGCAATTTTGGTGCTCCAAACTGTTGTCAATGCTCTCAATCCTCTTGGTGTTTCGATATATCCTACAATACCAACAACAGCCAAAGGTGGGGTTTCAACGATTGTGACAGCTTCCACGACTTCTTTGCCATTCAATTTTGATCCTGGTCTTTCAACAGTTCTCAAGATGTGGGTCATACCAGCCTTGAATCCTGCAAAGGCTGTCAAATGAACTGGAGATGATTTATTGTCTTTTGGGAAAGCTCGGATTCTTCCTCTGTGATGCTTTGTTCTCTTTCTTGGTGTAAATCCAAGATTTCCATGTCTGGGTGCTTCAAACTTTCTGTGAGACATTTAATATATAAAAATATATCTTTGATTTTTTTTTTAAATCCCTTTTCAAATTTAATACCTATTATACTTATATTTCAATATTCATTTATGAACATATATTAAACTTTTATTTTTAATTCTCAATTCATTATTCTCGAATCCTTTATTTTTCCATCTTTCTACTATTTTACCCATTTATACCGATTTGCTCTTAGCAATCGTATAATTTCAAGAAATCAGGAAATGCTTACTTACTCCTATATTCTTTTTGAATTCCCCTATAATAAGAACTCAAATTATTTTAGAAATATTTATAAAATATGTATTAAAATCTCTAAGTTTAATAACCTAATTCCAAATATAAGACACAATTGTGTCGCCATTTTAGTACGAATTTATCAATAACTTAGTTACTATTGGTTCTTGTGCACTGGGAACTAGATGTTAATTCGCACATGGAAGATAGGAACTTAGAACCAATAATCAAGGAATGACAAATTACAATCAACCTAATATATAATAAAACCATCAAGGAGGCAATCAAAACAGGGTTCAACACCTTAATCCTATGATTACTAACTATAAGAGTATTTAATCTATTTATGATTTAAAGCATAATTATGCAAACACTTTAATCCTCAAACAGGCCAATGTAAAAATGGTTCTACTTGCACTTTTGCTCATGGCGAATAGGAACTTAACTAAATAAACCCTTATCTACAAAATCAATACATGTATTTGAATGTCTAGGTTATAAAGGTCAATGCAACAGTAAATTAAACAATAAAATTAAGTTACTTTGTAAGCAGAACTTACTCAATAAATTTTAATTATGATACTCACAAATATGGAGGCTATTTTCCCTGGATAAAATGTAAAAATTTTCATAAATTTAATATTCTCTAGAATATTATCAACTTATTAAAATTTGGATAAGAAAAGGCAAGATAAGGAGACAATCAAGCAGCCAGTGAAATAATTAAGCAAATCATACATGACGAATAAAGAACCAAAGAAGAAAAAAACTAATACTAATTAATTTATAATAATGCTCAAAATCATTACAGTCAAAAACTAAAAGAAAGTAACATGTGAGCATTTCCTGATTTAATATATAGTTAGTATTTCAGAAATATATTTAAATAAAATCATTAAATTATTGTTAGTAAAATTAAATTATTATTGATTGAATTTAGTTATATGAGTTGATCACATTGCTCAAGCAATATAAATCTATCAATTACTATTAAAATCTAATTTCCAATGCATTTTACTTCCTAAATCCTTTTCTTCTCTGGTAATTCAAGAAGAACTTGAACTTCCTTATTCAATGTCTCCTTACTCTAAACATAAGGAATCTTCCATAAATAATCGTAGACAATCTCATCTATCATTAATGATATTTCAAAAATTCCATCTTCTTTGATTTATAAATGAATGCAATCATCATTCTCCACTATTTAGCAGATGAATTATTGCAATTAAACTAAAATAGATTCATTGACTTCCTCCCATTCCCAATCAGATTATAATATGTCTCTCCATACAGATTATAAGATATTTTAATTGTTTTAAATCTTAATAATTTATAAATCTATGTTATATTTATAATTATTGAACACACCAAAATTGTCAAGTGTGTAATCATTTAAGTCATAAGAAATAACAGTTACTTTTTTGTTCTTATCCTAAATATATTTTATTATTCTTTAATCATCTTCATTAAAGTCCTTAACCAAATAGATAAATAAATTGCATTGCTAAATCATGAAATCTATCCAAAAATGTTGAAATTCCTGTCTTTCCTATACTGTAGCCGAATTTATCAAAAATTGAGATGGAAATTCAAGTTGCTTTATAATAATCTCCAGTCTATAATTCTCTTAAAATCCACTATCATAATATTAAATTGCTATTTAATTTAAATCGAACTATATCTATTGTTCTACACCATAAATTGATTTGATAATGTTTGTTAAAAAAGTTGAGCTTTAACTTAAAATACCAATTGAATATTTTAATGTTGCGTTATGATCTTTTAGTTTTATACTCCATTTATTTTTAATTAAGTCCTGTAAAGAATAATGCTCACTAGTAATTAAGTTATCAAACTAAAACAAATTTTATTACTAAAGCAGCTGATTCAAAGTTAATTATAAACTAATAATATTTATTTTTTATTATTAACATTCTATTTTTAATTTTTCTATTTATTACTTATCATTTTCTTAATCTGAGTCATAATCAGGTTTATTACAATCAAAACTTGAATCAGCTCCATCTTTGTCTTCTTTTTATGAATTATTTTTTTTACTTTCGTCTTTACTTAACTCATTTTCCTCTTCATCTTATTCTGTAATTTTCGAATAATGTTTCTTTTATTCAAGAGGAATTTTAAGTTATTCATCTTAGATTTGATCTGTTTACACTTCGCTTGATATAAGTTTTGGTTTTGTAATTTGATAAGTTCTATTAGGGCTTTGCAATATAATAGAAATTTAAACTTATTATTGTATTTTACAATTCTTTTTCAATTTTTATTCTTTAATTGTTTATTTTATTTAAGGTTCTACATGTAATTTTTATTTTTCAAAGGTTTACTCAATTTTTCCTTCATTTTAAACATTTAAAAAATCAGTTTAAGTTAATTTGGATTTAAAATCAATTTTGTCTGTCTATTAAATGTTACTAATTTTATTTTAAATTACTTTTGTCTATGTTTCAGAGTTAATCATTTTTACCTTAGGCTTTTAGATTGGAATTGTATTTGTTTTTTCGGTATTGATTACCTAATTATTGATTTTAGTAGCAATTTTATAAGGGGATAAGGACAACGTTTCTCTTTCTTATAATGATACAAAAAACTTTTCAAAAATTGCATTAAGCTTTAGTAAAGATTTATTTAAGTCCTTCTATTTTAAAATGTCTATTTCTAAAATTTCTTAATCAATCCAGCTTAAGATAGTATTTCTATCTTTGATGAGACGAAGTATATTTGCAGATACCTTATTTATTATTTCAATAAGTATTTTAAAAGAAGTGTCTTTCTATATAAATTTATTTGGAATTATTTAATTTTTTCGTTAAGAATCCTATAATATAGATTCCAATTGCTAAATTTTGTTTTTATATTATTCCTTCTCTTAATCAAGAGCTGTTGATTTTTACTTTTCTTATATTATTTTAGTTAAATGAATTGTCTTAGCTTGTTCTTAAAATAGTAATTATTCTAAGAGCTAATTTTTTTGTTAGAACTCTTAAGCTGATTTTTAAAGTTAACTACTCTTAACCTAAAGTTAGTAATTGAAGGTATCACTCATTTCTTTTTTTTCTTATTCATGCCTTCTTCTTAATTGGTCTAATTGCAAAAATAATTTTTCTAATGTTTAGTCTTTAATGCTGTTATCTAAATTAATCGATTCATCCTTGCTTGTATGTTATGTTTTAGTTCGTATCACTTTATTATTGACTAAAGGGCTTTTAGATTATCTTTAATGACTTTTTTACATTATTAATTTATAGTTTATAACTTTAATTTATATATGGAATAATCCAATAAAAATTAAGTATCAACTCATCTATATTTAAGGTCAAGATATGTATTAATTAGCTTTCTAATAATCTTATAATAATGGAAATTTGAGTCGAAATAATTATTGCATTGTTTTTTAGCTTCAAAAAGGAAATTTGACTTATTTAAATAGGTTTTCTATCTTCATAATTTATCAATATAATCTTTCTATTTATAGTTCATTTTGTTCAGTAAAATAAGAAATAGTTCTATGTCGAACAACAGTATAAAAAGTCATATTTAAAGTCCTTTTTTATGATTAGGTTCTGTATATTATTTATTTTAAGATTCAAAATCACAAAAATTATGAAATCTGAATCATTAAACCCAGATTATCTTGAGTTAAATCTCAATCATTCGAAATAGCATGATCTAAGCAATAGCACACATATCAAATCAGGACATTGGAGCGAAGAAGAGCATCAATAATATGTTTAATTTTTACTTAGAGTCAAAGGCTCAGGAGATTCTTAAAGAAAAGGATAGCCCTTATTTAAAAGGATGAGTTAGATTATTGGTACAAGATCTCCAAGTTAATGCAGGTATTTATTTCCATTATGAAGATCTCATCATTAAAAATTTAACCCTTTTAATCCACGCCTTAGAAAGAATCATAAAAATAAAAAAATGCCTAAAATAGAAAAACCTATAATGAGAAGTAAATAAATTATGAGATAATATTTTTCATAAAATAAAATACATTCTGAGGATGAATTTCAGAGTGAATGAGCATTTTTGATTTATGTATTTAGTATACACATTTACTCTAAAATAACTGACTCTTTATTTGTTTTTAAAGTTTATTTATACTACTGTTATTAAAAATTTTCTAGAGAATCCTTAATTAAATCTAATTCACTATAGTTTCATAACATTCAAATACAGATTTTGCATTTCTCTAAAACATTCCTTTTAGCTTTGTTCTGTAAATAAAATTTAAATTTTTAACTTGTGAGTATTAACATGAAGATCATAAATTAAGAATCATTTAATAATAAATTTAAAATATATTAAGTATTACTTAGATTATAAATTCTTTAAGGAAAAGAAGGAAAGAAACTTTCCATTTGCTATTCAAGAAAATATTACAAAATAAAATTAAAAGCGAATATTAAATAGCACTAATTCTATTATTTTAAAATATGATAGTATTAGAGTCATAAATTAATTTAATCAAAATGCAAAATTAGAAAAGACTGTAATTTTAATTTTCTGGATAAAGTATTTAAAATTCTAAATAAATTAGAAACAATAAACTAAAGCTTGTATTAATTAAAATTGTAAAATTTATGAGAAGATAATTAAATTTATAAATGAATAATTTAGTCTGAATTTATTATGTTAATGTATTAGCATCCCCCAAAATATAATTTATAAAAGCTCAAACATTTTCTAAAATTACTAAAATGACTGCTGCATAGAAGTAAATATAGTAGAAAAATATATCTAAAATAGAATATAATGATTAGCTTGATAAAATTCAAGACTATAATATTTACTGTTAATATAGAAGATACATAATAGGATAAGATGAAGAAATTTAAGTAATTTTGCCAAAGAAAGAATCTTTATTATAATTAATATATAGATTTTACAAATATTTAAATATCAAAAATGCAGAAAGAACTTTCTTTGCTATAATTATTTGAGATGAAGTAATCTAGTGGACATTTTAAAAATTATAAAGCCATTTGATTGTTGGAAAATGAAATACGAACTTGAAGAAAGCTTTTTAGTTGTTAATTTCACTTATTTAGTTAAGAAATGGAGAAACCTTCTAAAATTTATTAAAAACATTATCAAATTTTGGAAGCATCCTAATTTTTTGGTTTTCTTGTTGCTTATTTTTCCATGAAAACCATGCAAGACACAGAATTCATGAATGCCATATAGTTTTACAGACCACTCTCGAAAATAACAGCAAGGAATATGATTCAGAAGCAAAAAAATAGATTTATGACATATTCATTTAGAATACCATAATTTAAAGGGCATTTCGATTATTGTATGGTACAGTTATATTAAGGGATATAAATGAATTAAATATCACAAATCTAATATATTTTTTAATGAAATATGAATACAATACTCAACTATCTGATTTAGGTTAATGGTTTTCCCATTCTGGTGTAATTATTGGATTCATTTATGCCATATATGCAACAACCCACATTAACCAAGCACAAAATGTAGCAATCGTCACACTTACAAGGGTTATTCTATATTGAAATAGATTATTACGTCCTGTTTTCGGGAACATCATGAGGATTCTTGGTTTTTTTAGTGACATAAGTATTGAACCCAAAACATGCAGCTACTCCTAAGACCATGTAGATTATGGATCCAACCAATATCGATGAACCATGACTCATTGCCATTTTAATATATTAAATAAATTATATAATAATATAGATCAAAATGATTAATTTATTTCTAAGTTATTGGGAAAATCCAATAAATATTAAGTTCCAAAGTACTATTATCAATGGTCTATTCGAATAAAAGTAGAAGACAAAAATTTATGTAATTTATATTTTATTTACTTATCAACTTTACTGCCCATGTAAAAATCACCATTCTTCACCAAATAAGTCTTCTTCCATAGGTATTTGTTATACTTGTTATTCTCCATCCTTGGCTGATAATACTTGAATATATTTGTTTTATAGTTTCGAAAAAAATAGTCTAAATAATACAAAATTTTACTAGTTAAATTAGGATTCTTGTTATTGATCAGAAAGATTCCAGTCCTTCTAAAATTATTTAATATCATATTCTGATTGCCCCTTAAATTATATGACCATTGCAAGACAGCAATTTATAAATTCTATAAAATGCTTTGCCTAAAATAAGTGAGCCCCTTGAATGAATTGAATAAAAATATCAATATTTTTTTCTCGAATCGCAATATCCATATATGGCTTAATATGCTCTGATAACACCTTACCAAATGCTTTTTCATATTCTTTAGATTGAATTGGTTTTGGGAATTTCATTTTTTCAACATCAAATTAGAATTCTTCGTAAAACAATTTAAATGTTTATAAAAAGTCTCCAGTCACTATTTCTTAAAAAATAATATCTTTATCCACTTAATAAGGTTCTAATCCTTTTGCTAGCTCAATAATCTAATTGGAAATGCTGATTTTCAAGCCGTCTTTTGATATTATTGTTATCATATAATTAATTAATTAATTATAAAATTAATCAATATATATATTTATCAATTTAATATATTTTTTTATAGATTTTTGATGAATGGTTATTTGAATTGTTTGTAAATTGTTTAAAATATCGTTATCATTAAGAGGAAATACACCAGAAGAAAATTATTGTATTTTCAAAAGATATAAGTTTTTTATTCTTAAATAAAATTTAAATGACATTATGATATAGATATAATACTTATATTGAAAAATTATAAAAAAGATAGATTATTCATAAATTTTTATTTATCTATTCAGCCTCAAAAAAGTAGCCTTTGAATTAAGCTAATCGTTTAAAATAAAAAAATACTTTACAATTACAAATCATTGATAATTTTACTGCTTATTTATTTAGTGCTTTCTTGCTAATTATTGGTCCGAGGAATAAATTTTTTTTTTGGTTAATAAGGTGACACCATTTCCTTTGATTGTAACTTATTCCAGTCAAAATTCCTCAGCCATTAATGATTCTTAACTTCATCTGGTGACAAAGCGCCAAGCCTATTTTCTGGTTTTCTTTATAATAACTAAATCTTAAATTTAAATGTTACCTAATTTATGAAATCCCCAGCCTCTATGCTCCAGTCAACTGGCAATTACGATCGTTTTATTTTCACTTACTTAGTCAACATTTGATCCCTCATTTAATTTAGATCTGTTTCTGTGCATGGTCTTTTACCAAACATGCATTCATGAGTTATGACACCTAAAGCAAAGTAATCAGCAGCTATTCCATAGTTTTGTTTGAGTATTATTTCTGGGGCAACATAACCTAAAGTTCCACTCATATCCTAACAATTATTTGGTTTCCAAAACGCAGCCAAACCAAAATCGGTTAATCTGAGATATCCTTTTCGATCCATAACCAAATTTTCTGGTTTAAGATCTCTATGAATAATTCCCTATGAATGAAGATATTCTAGGGCTACTATTATACAAGCGACAAAAAATTCTTTGTTAGATTAAAAAATTTACTTGTCTGTTCTTCAGAGAACACTTTATTATAGTTTAAGTGTGATCTTAAGTCCCCCTCTGATAATAGATCTAGAGCCAGATACAGTCTCTTCTTATCTTGGAAGGCTGCGATCAAATTTACTAAAAATGGATGTCGGATCTAACTAAGTATGTTTTTTTCATTCATAACGACACGAGTATTGTTTTTCTTTAATATTCTATGTTATTAAATTTCACTTACAGTTCCTTCTCCATAATTTTTATGGCATAAAGTTCTTTGTTCTTTTTTCTTTAAGCCTTCCAAACTTTTCCGAAGCTTCCTTAACCTAAAAGTTCTAAAAATTCAAAATTTTTAGATGAAAGATCTAAGATAACTATACAGGATACTTGATTCATCCTACATTTCGTTGCTTTAGATGGTGCAATTCCCCATAAAATAATTTAAATTGTTTAAATGATAGACATAATTAAATGGTTTAATAATACACATTATTTTCCTTTAATTTATACTTTGATCTTTTAATAATATCAAAAATAGACTTGAAGCTTAAAAAGGAAGTTTTTACCAAAAAATTTTTTTAAATGTCTACATATGTTTATTTATAGATTAGAAATTTTTATATTATTTTAAAATAGGATTTGATTTTTTGTTTTAATTACATATTATTAAAATTTATTTATAATAATAGATATTGAATAAGGTTAAAGATTCATTGGGCAAATGTAGGAAATTAGAACATGCAAGGCTAAAGGAATTGTTAAGCCTATTGTTATTATAATAAATTTACCATTTATTATAATTAATGATATTACATTATCATTAATTCATACTTTGAGTTTAATTACATTTTATCTTGTTATAATTGATTAATTCTGCTTTGTAAATATAGGTTCTAAAAATATAATCAATAAAGTACTTAAGTATTCAATTATTGAATAATTAAAGCTTAATGTCTATTGGCCTCTTCTGCCTATTAAAATAAATTTGTCTCGTTATTGTCCTAAATTGCCTCAACTTTCACAAACTTCTGATTTTAGGTGTCAAATAAAGATTTTTTCTAAATGTTTTCTAAAATTAATATGAGTATTAATACCTTCATTATTTTATCCTAAACTCTTATTGGATTTCTATTTTATTTCTCTGACTATTTTTTTTGTTACTCTACCTTCTCTTCTAAAAATTTGCATAATTGCCTTGGCTGTTGAGAAGTTGATACTCAAGTCTTTAGCAGCACTCTTAATAGTACAACCAGTAGAGGTAACTCTTTCGATCAATGCTTGTCTCTACCTGTTCGAAATTTTGGCATATTTTAAACCAAACTTACCTAAAAGATAATTATAACGTTCTACCTTTTCTTTTTTTATCATCTCCGTTTTGGTCACTTGCCAGTTATTTTAGATGTGATTTGTTGTTGCCATTATTTTCTAAATCAAAAGACGAATCAGAGTTTTAAGAACATTCAGAAGAGCTAGAAATCTATTCTTCTACCTTCTCTACCTAGGCAATCTCTTAATCTAGCATTAAATCCATAAACTATGGTAAAATCAATTTAAATAATTGAAAAAAGTGTTGATTCTTATTTAGCTTTTATACAATTAATTATCATTATGAATTAGAGATAATTTAAGAACATCAGAAGTTCTTAAATATTTTTCTTTTCTAATATCAATTTTAGATTTGAAAATTGTAGCTTTTCTTGTTGTTTATATAAATATAAAACATTAATAAAAATTAAGACATAATTAGAATACTGCAAAGTCACTATATTTTGCTTATATTGTCATCCAAACTTATGAATTCCTCCTCAATAATTTGTTCCAATGATTAAGGTGAGATTATCATTCTCTGTTAATTAATATCTATCAAATGTTAACACAAATTTAAAGCTTATTGTCTTAATTTTGGCTCAAATTCCTAAAACTCAATATTTAATTTATACTTCAACTTCTTAAATGTCTTTTATTTTTATTAATCTTTTTTTTTTGTATAAATTTTATTACTACTATTCCTAATATAATTTGCACTCATAATCAACAGAATATTCTGATGATTTTGGAAATTAATAAGCCATATAAGGAATAAATTTGTATGGTGATTCTATCTTCACTTTTTATTATTACTGCTCTTAAATGGGATTATGATTGATTGTTATTCCAAAATCTATAGATAATAAATGTAATTTATACAATCAAAAACAAACATCCATTCATAGAAATAAAACTCTTCTAGCTAAAATAATGAGAATAATTCGATCAATTTTAAACCAGATATTAAAAGAAAGGGATTTGCTTGTTTTCCTTTTCTATCAAATATTTACATCAACATGCTCACTAAATATGGCCATATCTATCTAAAAACTTAAGTCAAGGAACTTTGGCTCAATCTTAAAACTAAAATTCTAATGCAAAATATAATTAATATTGAAATTGCTGCATCTTAAGAGTTAATATCTTTTATAACAGACAATATTGCATCCAATAAAGTAGTTAATTTAGATTAGTATTTATCGACCCCTCCAGAATATATTATAAAACACACCCTTTCGAATCCTTTTGTCTTTTTCATCATTTCAGCTGATTTACTTTTAAATAGACCTGCAAACCCTTAGAAAAACTTAGAATTATTTCCTAATTGATCAGTTAGAATATCATTCTTATCTGAAATAATGTCAATGATTTCTGTCCAAAACTTAAGACATCTTCCTGTGCATTTAAAAAAGTCCTATCTATTAAAAAGATCTAATATATTATTTAGAAAGATTTGAGGCAAAATTTCTTTATTGTGCTTTAAAATTGTACATAGTAGTTCTGATGCAGCTTCAACTATATTTGAGTTTTCTTTATTTTCAATTAAAGGGAAGAGGAGCACCATAAATTCCTTCGTATTTTCAATAATTCTTTCACTTCTAGAGACTTCATATGTATTTATTAGAGTAACCCAAGATAGTCTTTTTAAAGTCTTTAGAGCTATTATTGAACAATGCTTTGAAAATATTGACTCTGTCAAATTTATAGGCTATTTATTAATTGAATCAAATAAAAATTATTAGATTTGATAACTTGCTTATGATTCTTAGGTCTAAGCAACTTTATCTTAATAATCCTCATACAATTCAAAGATTGTGGGAGTAAAAGGAACAACCAGTTGGAATTTTTGATCTGCTTACACATCAATTATGTTATCTGAATTGAATACTTAGGTTGAATAATTTTATTAGAATGATGCCATCTCAGCCAAAATCACTAAGTTTTACCTTAATTGAGTGTGCAATTCTTTTCTAAATTCCTCTAAGACATCCTTCGGAGAAAACTTCCAAGACATCATGTATATAATTTCCAAAACATAACAAACAGTATTTATATGTCTAGATTAGAGAAGACATTTGGAAAAACTTAAAAATACATTCCATAACTTAATTAATTCCTTATTCTTCAAATTTTGATACTAAACTGAAGAGAAGTAAGTGTATAAGAAGAATAGAACATCATTTTCAAATTTAGCTTATTCATAATTAAAAGAGTAGGGTCCTTTTTTATATTTGTTTTTTTAATTATATTGTATTATTGTTTACACTTATCTAGTACGAACAAATGCTGTCATAAATTCATCTGGAACTATTTATAAAGTTATTGCTAGTTCAATTAATTTACACATATTCTGGTTAATCTTTAATTGATTCTTATTTACATTTATTTAACTCTACCAGACCTCTAAAATAGATGATATTAAATTTGATGAAAAATGTATTGAGCAAGGTCTTAATAATTACAGAATTGACTATTTTATTTAGACTTCATCTGTAAACTCTTATTCTGATCTTTATAATTCATCCTTCAAGACTTTGTTAAATTAATCGAATTTCTCATATTCATAAACGATACAGCCCATAATTGACAAATGCTCCCAAATTAGTGAGCATCTCCAACATTCCAAATAAGATTCCAGAATCTATGGAAATAATTTGAGAAGCATTTGACATGTATCTGAATAATTTTAAAATTAAGGTTGTGTCTATTGATATTTTAGGATGTGGTTTTTATCAGTCTTTTTGAAAAATACATTTAATGTAAATAAGTCAACTAATACGCCTGCTGCATTAGGTCTTTAATCTATATCTTTTGTATCATATTTAAATTAAAAAAAGTAACTGATGATAGCTCTTATAGAATTGGATAAAGACATGACTTCTTCAAAATCATCTCCAGATAACCCTGTTTTTATGTGAATCTATTCCGAATTTAGCTACTGAATATTTAACTATTGAAAATTATTGTTAATTTCATTTTTAAATAATTTGATAAGTTATAAATTAGTCTATCTCTTCTCTATACTTGCTCCAATCTTATTTTAGTTATATTCACACTATCCCAATAACTACAATAGAGATTTTAATATAATTGATATTTTTTCAGTAATTATTTTAGGAGGGAGCAATTAGCTTATAGAGTAAACTCCAACAACGATGGTATTTAAGTATCTTTATTTTAAGAAAAATACTTTTGATGATTATAACCCAATAATGAGATTGTTAAAAAATGATGGTTATTCATAAAGATCAATTAATTCATTTCTATGTTATTAGGATAATTCTTTTTCTAATTCAAATGTATTTAATAAAAATACTTTTATTAGATTGAGTAATTATAATTAAAGCAATTAATCATTTTTTTAAATCACTTACTCAAATTTCTACAAAATTTAATTAAAATACAAAAGTAATACTTGAATTTTGTTTTTGTTATCAAGAGTTAAATTTATCACATATTCCAACAATTCTGCACTTGTTGCATTAATTTTTGAAAATTCATTGTTGTTAAAATCAGCTAAAACAAATTAGATTAAGATTTAGCAAATTAATTTATAATATGTGTTTAAGTGTTCATTCTAACAAAAGGTGGGTTTAGTTTTTTCTATATAAGGTTAAAACCATTCTTTGGACACATAAATTTATTATAACTTCTTAATGGTGTCTACAGCCAATTCTAGAGAAAACTCTTTGTTTTTCTGAATATCTTATAAGATCTACTCCAATCTTAGAAGTATTGGATCAATTATCCTAAAGAAAAAGGGTGCAGATTCACTAAGCCAAGTCTTAGTATTATATCTAATTAAAGGATTTTCATGTTCTAAGTAGTTTAACATTTATAGTATTCCAACTCCTGTGTTGAGTTTTGGATGCTTCTTATAGAAGACATTTGTAATTCTACAGAATATCTAGTACCTCCTTTAATCCCCCTGCTTTAATGCTTTTTCAATCACATATACAAAAATGTGTTAGAACCTTTCTGCTATATAAAGTATGAACTCTACAGCTAATTAATCATGATAATTCTAGTCTAGAAGTAGCCATAATTTTTCAAAAATCTATTTGATATAGTTTCTTTCATTCTAATTACTTGAGTATTCATATTAAGTATTATCCATTGATAAAGAATCCATTTTTACAAAAGGTTGAATATCAGAATAGCTGCTTCTTGTAATCATTTCGGTTAGCAGAAATACATTTTAATGTATTTAGGCTTGTTTTAGTAATTCAATTATCATTTCTATAGAGCATAAACTTATTTTATTGGTTCCTTATTCTAAGGAATCAAATAATTAAAATAGCCAATTCGGTATTGAGGAATGTTGTACATCTGCGTGTTTCATTAAGAATAATTGTGATCTGAGTAGAATTTAGGAAGTAAGAGGGAATAAAGCTTCTTATTCATTCTAAATAGAATATTTGCTTATTTCAACATAGTAATCACAATATTGAGAAATGATATTAATATCCATTTAGTCTATTGGTTGATAATTGGGTTATTTCTACAGATTTGAGATTCTTCCGTAATTACTACCCAAGGCTAAAGATAAATCTTTTTCATTTTCTAATAATTCTAGTCTTTGTCTGATTTTATTAATGCAATCTAAAATTTATGCTAACAATTATTATGGTATTTAAATTTCAAATAACCTTTCAATCTTTAAATTCATAATTTCCTTGAGTGCTAAAACAAAGAATTCTTGCAGACATTAAGTTCTCTATTGAAAAAGTGTAATGTCATCAATTTTACTTAAGTCAGAGAACTACTACTTCATCAAGGTATTTAAACAGTAGTCAATAATTTAAATACACTCCTTGATCTGATCTTATTTTTGAGCAATTGTAAAATTTTTCAAATGTTCATATATTGATTTCAGAATTAATTCACTTTAACTTGAAATACTCTCAATTAGTCTTTCGCTTGCTTTCTACAATTCTCCAAGTTTGTCAGATTAAATCTCTTAGTATTAGATTGTTTTCCTATAAATAAATCTTGCTAAGTCGTATCCTATATCAAATAAGGTCATAGAGACTGTTTCTGGATGTTGCATATACCAATTTTATAAGATTTTCAAGGGATCGCCTTATTCTTCAATTAAAATTCTTCGCAACCCAACTTGAATATACTTGACAATTTCCATGTTCTCATTCAACTCATCCTCGCCAAAGAACCAATTATTGATTCTCCTTACTACGGCATGATCTAATTTAATAAATAACAATAAGCATTATTCAATCAATATCAAATTCTCTTATTCTTAAAACACATTTTCTGAAATTTTACAATATAGACACATAAAGTCTAAGGCAGCCCTTTTCACAAGAATGGATTCATCCTCCAGAGAAGCCAATAATGCATTAATCACTAAGGCTTTTTTATTAGGCATTTTCTCATCTTCTTACAATATGCAATTTTCTATATCTACCTATTATTGTTTAGACCATCTCTTCATCAAATACTTATAAGCTCCCAACCTGCATCTCCCTGATCTTATTATAGAAACCCATAACAAGCCAAAAAATTATTTTATTCCAACACTCTCAGCCGCCTAATCCAATGAACTCATAACCTAATATACTTAAAATCACTTACTTTTTTCATCATCTCCTCATTGGTGTCTTCCATCCCAACAATTATTGAACTTATTAATCCTCCCATGCATGGTAAAAGGTCCTTTTACAATGGATAATAGTATTTCTCAAGTATGTTCAAAAACTTTGGTTTACATTAGATCGAGGCAAATCCAAAAAAGGGGAAGAGACCAAGAGAAAATAAAGGCAAATCCTAAACCAAGTCATATTCAGTATTTGAGCATAGAATTTGCAGAATCAAATCATAAATGACTAAAGCATTTTCATGAATTGCTTTGTTCCATATTGGACTTAAGCATTATGCTAATCTCTTACATAATAATTTTTTCTTTGGAATATAGGATCCTTAATATGTTTAAAATACACCTTATAATTTCAATAGCCACTAAATAGATAATGATGATAATTCACCTATCCTAAATCTGACCATTCCTTCAGAGTCTCATAATTCTTTAAAATTGCACCTATCTTTATTTTCTATTTCTATTATTCCTCCGATCTGGACTTAGCAATACTCTAATTTTCAAAATTCCTATTATTCTATCTTAAATCATTAAACATTCTATATGATAATTAAATGAATATAATTTAAGAATTTATTCTAATTAAAATAGTTAAAACTCAAATCTACATTTAAGACCATTGCTTATGCTTTTTATTACATTCTTTTATTCCTACATTTTTGACTGTATCAATCTTGTATTCCTTCGATCCACTTCTATTCAGACTTAATATAATCTTAATACTTATATTCCCTTTAGCTAAAATTTCACTTTTTGATAATAGATTTTGTCATTTATTGAAATTCATCTTAGTATTTATTCAAAAGTAGATCTCATCTTATACTATAGTTACCTTACAATATTTTTTATAATAATTTGATTATTTAAATCAAATTCTCAAATTTTTCATTATTTTTGGTTTTTCAAAAATAAATTATCGTCTCCTCATAATTTTAATATTCACTATTTAGCTGTCTAAATAACAGATACATTTACTTTTTGTAATTATGGTCCTAAATATATGATATCATTGTCCTTATTTTAGTTTATTTTGGATATGTCCTATTTTGTAAACTTACTTCTAGATAGATTTAATTTAAAAACCACACTTAATTTATCAAAATATTAAAGTTAATTATGATATTTAATGGATAAAAATGATCTTATTATTTTCATAAGTACATATTATAAGTACTATTCAAAATTCGTTATTTCCTTCAAAGTCTTTTATATATATAAACTTGACAGGTATATATATTTTATTTGGATTGGCAAGTGTTTGAAAAGATCTAAAATTTATTAGGTAAAATTAAATCAATGCTTTTATTTCTTCAATTCAATAATATTTTTTTCCATGATTTAAATTAATGTGATTCTTAATAATTAATAATGATATAAGATTATTTTTGTAAATAGAAAAATGCCAAGCTAAGCCAAAAAAAGGCCTTCTAAAGAAACCTTAAAGAAACTAAAGCTCTTACAAAAATCAATATCCAAGAATAGAGTTTAAGAAATTAATCAGAATCTCATTGTAGATATGGATGATTTAATCAATTTCTTTAAATAAAATAAGGCTTTGAAATTGTACAAAGGTACTCTATCGTATTTCAAAATTAATCCTTTGAATAATATGCTCTATCTATTGTCTAGTATATAAATTAACTAACAACAATACAAATAAAACTAAGAGCAATTATAATAAAGGGTTATTTATGGCCTTCTGCAATTATTAGAAGAAAAGAGAGTTATACCTCAAATCTTAGGTTGCATCAAATTGGAGAATGGAAATTTTAAATTGAATGATAATCTGTTGCATCTATCGGAATTGATTACTTTAGCCTCACTAAACGACGATTATAGATCTAGAAACTCAGAGAAAATAGATATTGACGAATCACAACCTATTAATGATCAATATCTACTATTGTTATCCTTGTAACTACTGCAACCTCAAGTTGATCAATTCTTAAATCCTAAGCATTTAAACCAACACGATTTTAATCAAATTTATGAAACTTATAAAATAATCTAAACTGCTTCGGATACTGATCATATTAATAAATAAATTAAATAGATTTATACAAATATTGCAGAAAAAATCAATTCTTTGGGTTGTTATCATTTATCAAATGAAATATTGAATAAATCAAATCATATAGATTTACTAAGAACATATATAGTAAAGAAGTTAGTAATAATCTCAATAACATAAATCAATGAATAAAAGGTTGGACTACCTGAAATTGTCAGAAAGATTATTCTCTCCAATGCAGACTCAACCAGTTTCATTGGTCAAAAGGGAGGAGTCGAACTAAGATATCCATTATTTTTTATTAAATAATTATCTAAATAGGATGAAATTAAGGACTAAAAGCTTCAATATTGCATCCGACAAATGGATGAAAATTTGAATTGGTCAGAATTGAAGACTCTATATTATAACACTATATTGCCAAATTACTAGAAGTATGAATAGTTAACTGAGGAAGATATTATTATTGCTTAGTTAGAAATATTGGACTAGAATTTCAATAAATATGAAAGATAAATACGAAAACATATTAAAAAGCCTTCAGCCAAGTAATAGATAGCATAAATTGAAAACATCTTGAAAGAAGAAGCAAGCAGTTCCTAAATTCCAAATTCATTATTAGAAAAGATATCTTAAATTGGTTAAAAACTTGTTTCTTTTCGAGAAATTTGTAATTAAGAAAGTCACTAGAAACCAAAAGTTCCTAAATATGCAAGAAAGATTTTAGAGGCTCCTAATAAGGTAGCTCAGCCTGCCGAAAGTTATAATTGCTTATCTGATCTTTTGAAATTTTAAAGGCTTAAATTTTCGCATTTGATCAGATTTTTTGGTGAATATTTGATTAATAAAAATGTTCCTTATCCTTATTTCTTTGAAATACTCAAATGTGGTCAAAGTTGTGTTAGAGTAGATGTAAGAATAACGACAATTGAATAATTTGTTCAGGATGCTCATTTTATTAATTTTATGTTTGAGGAATATTAAATTGATATAAGTGGATTGTCTTTAAGAGAGAGAGCTAATAAATTGGGGAATGTGCCTTATGATGTTCTGATCAAGAATCATATATTTAAAGAGTGTTGGGGAGATATCCTTATAAAATAGGCATAATTAATATATGAAAATAGGAAAACATTACGATGGGAACTGGTAAAAAGATTGAAAAATGAGAAGGTTCTAGAAGTGTTTACTCAAATTGAAGAATAAGGAAGAAATATAAGTTGGAAAAGATTAGAGTTATAGAGAGAGATTATTAAGTTGAAAAATTATTTATAGAAATAATAATGATAATTTGTTGTTTTATTGATTTATTATTATGATAAACAAACCGATAGAAATATAGTAAATTATTAAGTAAAATCTAAAGATTTGTAATAACAAATATGCATAAAATTGTCAATAATTGTTCCATTATTCTCCCCATAAAGTTGTAAGTGATTTATAATCTTAATTGTTTTAGCGAGATAAACCATGCTGAGAACTAGGAAAAAAGGTTCCTCTAAAATTTTGCATTGCTGTTCGAGGAACTCTTAGGTTTGGGTGTTGTGGGTAGATGTCATCTTCTAGTTTTAATACTTTATTTTTGTTTTCCAATTGTGAATTCACGTTAGTAGGTGGAGTATATAAGGTTCTGGAAGGTTATTGAATAATATCATATCCTATGGCTGCTTTCTTTAATCTTTCTTCAGGAACATTTTAATGAGATTTGTAAACTTCACTTATTAAAGGAAAATTTGGATGAGCTTAGTAATAAATGGTTCTTTTTTTTAAAGAAGAAATGACAGGTTTGATGTTGATAGTTTTTTTTTCAACAGTTTATGATTTTTTTAATTAAACTTATGATGTTTTCTTCATTAAGTTTGGAGTCGATTTACGATGATCATCTTATTGCAAGACTTTTTCCCAGTGTTCTTACTTCTTTTATATTTCGATTTTATTCATTTCTTCAATATTTCTTTAATGTTCATCTTGAAGGAGTTCTTTTTATATTTCTTCATTTATTTTTAGTATTTTTTGCAATGCCTTTCCATTACTTTCTAAGTCATCTTATTAGATAAAGTTTTTAGGGTCCAATTCTTTATTATAAATCTTCTTTTCATTAAAAGAATTTTGTTAGGAAGAATTAGAATTCTTGTTCAATACTTTATTCACATATTTCTAATTTTCATGTAAAAATAATTTAATTAATTAATCACCAAGAAAATAGTTAGCCAATTTAAATTTCTCTCTGAAATAATTTTTGAAATATGAATCCTAATATTTATTAGTAAAGTCTAAATCTCCTTTTACAGGCTTATATGATGATTTCACAATTGATTCACACTTCACTTTTTACTTTTAGAATCCTTTATCAAATTCCTTGGAGATCACTTAATACTTCTCTTTTTATTCTTCCAAAGCTCTTTCAACTTAATCAAAAATCTAAATATCTTTTTATTTTTTGATTCCTTTATCCAGGTCCTCGTTTGTTTATGATATTCTTTCTTTTTTGAATCCATTTTCCAACTCCTAAAATATTTGTATTTCAGTTTCACTTAAATCCATTTGCTATTGAGGTTCTTGTTGGATTGGTTATTCAGAAAGAGAGTTCTTCATCGTTTCTTAGTACTTTCTTGCTAAAGATTCTTCCAAAACTTAAATCAGATGAACTCCTGCTCTCATTCTTTACAGTCTTTTCTCTGAAAACTTGATTTCCGTATTTAAACATTAAGGATTTTGCTTGAAACTATTAATTTTCACTTTTTTTATTTCTTAGCGGTTCTCCTCAATCTAATTTGTAAATTTATTATTAAACCTTTTTTAAATTCAATAGTATTTCCTTAAATTCTACAAGTCCACTTCTATAAGTTTCCACAAATGATTTATATTTTTTTACAAACTCTCTATCATTTTTCTCTGACAATTTGTTTATGTCACTCTAGAATAACACATTTATTTACTTCTATCCAATCCAACAAATTTCTTAACTTCTCACTCATTTCATTTTCATAATATTCTCTCTTTAATATTTTTTTGGCTTCATCAAAAACATTTTTAAACTGCAATTCAATTTCCTTTTTCCTAGCATTGTGCTCACTCTCCTGAATCTTCTTCTTCTGCTCTTCAATCTAATCTGGTTACATAATAATTAATTAATTATATTTTTAATAACCCTATTATAACAGCTCAAAATTATCAAAATTTATTTATATCACATAAACATTAGCAGGCCCTACTGAGGATTATTGAAATATAAGTGCAAATTACAAAACAACAGCTATTGTTTGTACATCACAATCATATTTTAATCACTATCCATATTTAAATAATTAATATATATATTATGAGACATCAGCTAGCAGCAGTATTTGATTAATTGAAATTCTAATAATTAGATTAATAAATTAATAAATGTTATAATATCTTATTCTTGTAATAAATTTATAGTGAAATAATAAGCTTAAATGCAAAATTTTAGAAAGTAGAATTTATAATTAAATAATTAAAAAGGAAATAAAAAATCATAATACGATTAAGGATCATGTTTAACTTAAATTTTTATGAAATATTTTGATAAAATGACAAGATCGCAAAAAAGAAATAATTAGAATAAAATATAATTTTAAGAAGTTAATATAATTAATTTTTAGATGACAGAAAGGTGAATGTCAATCCATAAAACTTGAGCATATATCATATGGTTCTGCCAATATGATAGAATTTTTAATTAGAACAAGAATAAATAGATAAGGTTCTAAAGGAAAGCGGTATAAAGTTAATAATATTTGTTAGAGAGCAATGTTGGGAATTGTGTAATTTCTATACATTTTAGAATATCAAAGCCTTAGAAGACAAATAGAAATCCTAATAAACTGGGATTAGTTAAATTAAACAATTAATGACTAAAAATTTAAATTTTATAAAAGTTTTTATTCATCAAAAGAATCTAAATAATGATTTCCTATAGATTGTTCAAATTGATGTAATTGCTATTTAATTTAAAAAAATGCACTTTTAACTTGTATAAATTGAAATATGCAAAAAATAATGTATTAGCTAAATTATGATCTATTTTGAATAATACCTTTAATTTTTAAATATGATTTCAAAAAATATAAATTGTCAAACATAGCATGTGATATGTATTAATAATTACCTGCCATCTAACAGTTCGACTCATTTGATCAATAAAGAGAGTAAGAGGAGAGACTAATCATAATCGACTTGGTTTTTGAATGATTATAAAGTCTCAAAGGATGAATTTTATTTAACAGAATGACGAAGCAAGAATGAGATCAAATAGGGTGATAAATCAATCCACAATTAGTGTAGCTTATATTTGATTCTAATAGCGACAATGACAGATTGGGATTAGATGTGATTTTGTTTCAAATATAATTTGTTTTTTATTTCTCAAGTTTTCTTTTATTCATGAATACATTGTAATTAGCCTTATATAAAGAGAGTAAACGCTGCGTTTATGTGGATATTGAAGAAAAGTACANCATAAACATTAGCAGGCCCTACTGAGGATTATTGAAATATAAGTGCAAATTACAAAACAACAGCTATTGTTTGTACATCACAATCATATTTTAATCACTATCCATATTTAAATAATTAATATATATATTATGAGACATCAGCTAGCAGCAGTATTTGATTAATTGAAATTCTAATAATTAGATTAATAAATTAATAAATGTTATAATATCTTATTCTTGTAATAAATTTATAGTGAAATAATAAGCTTAAATGCAAAATTTTAGAAAGTAGAATTTATAATTAAATAATTAAAAAGGAAATAAAAAATCATAATACGATTAAGGATCATGTTTAACTTAAATTTTTATGAAATATTTTGATAAAATGACAAGATCGCAAAAAAGAAATAATTAGAATAAAATATAATTTTAAGAAGTTAATATAATTAATTTTTAGATGACAGAAAGGTGAATGTCAATCCATAAAACTTGAGCATATATCATATGGTTCTGCCAATATGATAGAATTTTTAATTAGAACAAGAATAAATAGATAAGGTTCTAAAGGAAAGCGGTATAAAGTTAATAATATTTGTTAGAGAGCAATGTTGGGAATTGTGTAATTTCTATACATTTTAGAATATCAAAGCCTTAGAAGACAAATAGAAATCCTAATAAACTGGGATTAGTTAAATTAAACAATTAATGACTAAAAATTTAAATTTTATAAAAGTTTTTATTCATCAAAAGAATCTAAATAATGATTTCCTATAGATTGTTCAAATTGATGTAATTGCTATTTAATTTAAAAAAATGCACTTTTAACTTGTATAAATTGAAATATGCAAAAAATAATGTATTAGCTAAATTATGATCTATTTTGAATAATACCTTTAATTTTTAAATATGATTTCAAAAAATATAAATTGTCAAACATAGCATGTGATATGTATTAATAATTACCTGCCATCTAACAGTTCGACTCATTTGATCAATAAAGAGAGTAAGAGGAGAGACTAATCATAATCGACTTGGTTTTTGAATGATTATAAAGTCTCAAAGGATGAATTTTATTTAACAGAATGACGAAGCAAGAATGAGATCAAATAGGGTGATAAATCAATCCACAATTAGTGTAGCTTATATTTGATTCTAATAGCGACAATGACAGATTGGGATTAGATGTGATTTTGTTTCAAATATAATTTGTTTTTTATTTCTCAAGTTTTCTTTTATTCATGAATACATTGTAATTAGCCTTATATAAAGAGAGTAAACGCTGCGTTTATGTGGATATTGAAGAAAAGTACAATCTAAATGACAATATATTAATTGTCATAATAGCTATACTTATAATTTCATAATATATATAAATTTTTATTAATATTAATTGAAAATGTATTTCAAACAAATGATTTTAGAAGAAAGTAATTTCGATTTAATCAAATAGACTAGGAGTTCATAATTGATAATATTATTAAAACAAAATTAAGAAACAGAAAAATCGTTTGATTGGATTAGACTTAAAAGATATAATCATTTTTTTAGATGTATATTATTACTATTATCCTATTTCTTAAATTGATTGTAAGTAAAATGCTCCTTCATTTTCTCCAATCCATTTGACAATTACATAATCTGATTTTTCAATTATAAAATGTCTTATTCATATTTTTACTGCTTTTCTATATACATTTATTCTTAATTCGACAATTAAGATTTCAGATTTGATATTTATTACTGTTATTTTTCAATGATATAATTTAAATTGTGCTTGTTACTATTGCGAAAAACATCCTCGTTTAATTCTTGTTCATTTTCTTTCATCTTACCATCTATGCTTGCTCTCTCCTTTTTCTAAGGGCTATCTGTTCTTAGTTCTAATTATGAACGATGACTCAGAAACCTATCATTTTTTTAAACTATCTAATGAATTTTGTCTAAATGACAGAGTATCTCCTATTTTAATCTTAATATTTTCATCATTTTACATTAAATCATCCTCAGCTATTTCATTCTTACAGTTGCAATTAGTACATCTAGAATTATTTGTTCTGCATTCAGTTTTAAAAGGGGAAGGGTGACACTTAGTTAATTCTTTGCTATCCGATTCAGGCTTATTAAAATCTTTCTATTTCAGAATGTCTTTGAGTTTGATTATCTCACTCACTTTTTTCGATGTTTGATTGGTGGAAACATGAGATTTTTGAATTTCATAATCTCTTGAAATGCTTCTCCTTTATTTAATCTGTCCCACTGATTTTTGAGTAGCCAAACATCTTTTTAATTGAGACTCCTAGTAATCTACACTCTTCCTATTTCGACTATTTCTTAATTACATTGACAGTTAAAATTATAGATTCTCTAAATTGAAAATAAATTATATTGAAATCATCATCAATCTTTGTTTTACTCAATCTCCACAAGTATTCATCTTACTGGTGGCTGTCCTTCTTGATATAGGTTTTTGCGTTTTCCCTATGCCTTTAGATTGCGTTATAGTTTATTTTTATTGTGGCTATGAGATGGGAGCCTACTTCACGCTTTTCTCAGGCGTAGTAGCTTCACTTGGAGGCTTGAAAGCAATAGAGCTAGGCAATGAAGTTTTATGGTTATGCATGTTATTAGAATTGATTGTTATCACTTAAGACACTGGAGTTTGAATTCCAGCTTGAACTGAATTATAATTACTCAGATGTTGAAGTGTTTAATTTTCACTTTTCACACTCATGGTTTCTGTTATATTAGTATTTAGTAAATATGTAATTAGTAAAGTAAAGGGCTTTATAATTTTCTTAAGTAGCTTATAGCATTTTCCTTGATCGAACATTTTCATCATGTTTTCCAATGAGTTTATTTAAAGCATGCACTGTAGAGAATTATTAGTAGCAATCAAATTCATTAATTCTATTAGCAGTTTCCCTACTTTGTCCTTTCTTTTAGCTTCATCTTTGGATAGTGCAAAAAAGGATTAGCTAGGTTTAGCCCTTTCACTACGCTTGATGTCATTTAACTTTTATTGAGCTACTTACTTTTCGGATTCAGAAATGAGAAGTCTAAGCTGTAAATCTTTAATACTGTTATTTGTTTTATTCATAAAAATATTATGTTATCAATTATAACTTACTTTTACATATATAATTTAATCAATAATGGTTTATTCTAGAAGATTAAAAACACATGAAATTGAAAGAGAACATAAGCATATTTATAACAATTATAGAGATTTAATTAATCCTATTATTAACTAATTTTCCAGTCAATTTCTGAGTATTAGCACTATAAGTTAATTCTTTCAATGATTTTTATATGAATTAAGTATCAATTAAGTTCGATGAATCCTGTAAGCTAAAAAGTAGATATTTACAATCTGTACTGTCTTATTTTAATTTAGTTCTAAGTTGTAATGAAAGTATTGATTAAAATTTAATTTAAAGCATTAAAAATATTAAAAAACAAAAATAACTTCGACCACCTAGGGACTTGAACCCTAAACCCCCAGACCCGAAATCTGGTGCTCTACCAATTGAGCCAGACGGCCATATTCAATTATGTTCACATTATTAACAATTAATATTAAGTCAATTTCAATTACATAAAGTCTAGCAACATCTTTAGAAGTATCTACAGAGATAACAAGTATTTGATAGCAAGTATCCAAGTCCAAAAGCAAGCATTACTATTGCTGCAATTACCAATATTGGTGATAGTAGTATATAAATTAAGAGTTTCAGTATTGCTCTAATCCATATTAAAATTTTGGGATATGAGTACGGATCTCTTTCTTAAAATTATTATCCAGGACAATTGCTTTGCAATTTGGACATTTTTATATTTTATAATCTTGCAATGCCTAAGCAAATACTTGATCTACACTTTCTTGGCAAGTCTTATTTGGATGACTTGGATTCCCACAATAAAAAAAAAATGACTATCCACAAACGCAATTTAGTATTTTTTCTGATCCTTTTTGAGAAACAAAATTAAAACAATCAGGTCTGGGACACTATTTCCCGTTGACAACATGCTCATGTTGCTTGATTAATAGGAATCTTCATTATTTGATGATACTACTATCTCTAATATTTCAGATAAACATTTTGATTGATATTTTATTTAATCAAGCGATCACTCAAAACTGTAGAACAGCCAAGCTATGGCCAAGTGATCTTTTGCACTTTGCCAGATATTATTGTATTGTATAAATATAAGGAAATACATTTTTGTCAAAATTGGTGATTGCATTATTCAATTATGGTGATGTTATTGAGTTCATTAAAACAGATTTAACAGGCTTATTTATTTGGTTTAAAGAGAGGTGATTGTACTATCTATATTTAATGAGACTGAATAATATGACTTCTACTTTAAAACTCCTGAAGTTACTTTGAATCAACATCATTTGAGAGTGATCTAAATGTTGTTAATTCTGATTTCATCAAATTTTCTGGGTCATGATTTTAATTAAGTAAAATTGAGGGCAAAGCATAAGTTTTCAACCCATTATTTATTTTTACCCTCCGATTGTAAACATAAGAGTTCGATTTAATTATTGATTAACTGCTCAACTATTTACTGTTCTCTAGTTCCTCTTAAACAAGGATATTCAAAGACGAAAGCTTTCAAATACTTTATAATATTAATTATTTTAGAATTTGATTTTAATTTTTATGCTACTAAATTATAATCTAATAAAACGATTTACAAAATATAAATAGAATTTCTTCACGATTCGATATTTTATTATTACTATAACTTTTCACATTCCTCAACTATTTTTTAAAGTAATTCATTCTCATACTAATACACCTATTATTCTTGATTTTGAACTTGTCTCAAAAACTTGTGATAGTGATTTATTCTGGTCTTTCTATACTTTTGTATTTCCTTAGTTGCAATGATTGCAGTAGTGATGTTATACAATTACGACAACCTCTCAATTTCTTATTGGCCCTAACAAATTCACTTTATATAGTACTTCAGATATCTTCTATTCAACCTTTAACTAAGATTGATCCTTAGCCTTATTGAACACAGAATTTGTGATTGTTGTAAGTGTTTGTTTACCCGCTGCAATTTTGGCCAATTCAGCTTAATCTTCCCTCATTTTCTATTCTTGATTTGCTCTTTAAATAAGCAATTAATCTCTATATGTCAATGACTACTAAATTGATTCTGCATCCTTTAGCTCATATCTAAATAAATCTGTGATGTTGTCTAGACTATTAAATTTTTTATAGGCTTCTTTCTATGGCATAAATTGAAATCATACAAGTTAATCCAATAATTTAGTTAATGGTTCTATGTTCTAAGGATTACATAATATAAGGAGGTTCTCTTTACCACACACGTATTCTGTCAAATTCACTTTTTCATAGAGTGGCAATTATCCAAAAAATAAGTTCACTTATATAACTAATCTTTGATACATTTTTCATTCTAAATTTATTTTCTTGTCTGAGCCACTCCTTAAGATTGTTCAATATACTATTTCAAATGAATTTATGACTTTTTCAATTGTCCCTAGAATGTACTTATTTACAGCATATACTCACTGTTTGAGGAATCTCTAACATCTAAATTGGGAAATGCTCTCTTGAATCTATCGATGATGTCAGCTGATGTAACTTACTTTTATTATTAAAATATCTAATCTAAGAAGAATAGTTACTTTGTTTATCTCTGTGTTTGTAGATCTCAAAAATAACTATTGAATATCTTCAGAATAATAGATGTATGGCAATTCAGTTAAGACATTCAAAAATATTTCCATCAAACGTTTTCTAATCTGGACAGTCTCAACATCATTCCCACTGCCTAACAATTTTTCAGGAATTGGAGGAATATAGCATCCAGGCCACTTTTTTATCAAAGCTACTCTCAGTTCATAAAAGTCATTGTATCTTCTCAAAACTTCGAAACTTCCTAAATTATCCAATCCCTTTATTAAATACACAGTATATTTAATTCCCAATCCACCATCCTTTGTTATAGCATCAGTGATGGCTATCTCAATGGGAGAATTTGGATATTCTGCAGCTTACACAATTTATTATTCAAGAATGGGTTCTTCTTGTTTTTGATTTTAAAATCCCTGAGAATTTTCTTCTTGTGCTTAATCCATGTATGAATTAAAGAATTATTAATTTTAATTTGAAATAAATTAATATGTTACTATTTGTGTGTTGCTTAATATATATGCATGAAATGTGACATTATAACATCAAATAATCAATTAAAATATTATTGTTGCTGACTAGATAAGTAAATATCTTGTAAAAATGAGAACATCAGAAGACCTCCCAATAAGGTTATCAATCCTGAACAGAAGAATTCTATAACGTTAGAAACCTTACTGTTCCTTCCTGTCATTTATGATCTTTTAGAATCCACTTTTTATATACCAATTTCATTGGGTTTCTCAATTTAATTAATGTTTTCCTACAACTACTTTATTTATTGTCTTTATTCATTATAGATGATAAAGATGTTTTAGAATTTATTCTCTGCTTCATCCAATTAATTTTAGAGATTCATTATGGCTTCTTAAATTTCCTCAATCAACTATTTTTTATTTCTTAATTATTGGTCCATGGTTTTAATCATTTACTCATTGTCAGATATCAATAATTATTACAATTCATTGATGTTATCTTGATTGATTTCTTTATCCAATATATTCTTAATTTCATCGATCTCCTAATTGACTTAATCAAATTCTAAATTTAATTTTTTTTCCAACTCTATGCTATTCTATAGTCTTTATGAGTCATTTCTTGCCTTTGTGGACTTATTATAATATTCTTAATAAATATCTTTAAGTTCTTTATCATTTTCTTAAGTTACTACTTCCTCATACTTGCTTAAAATCTGTTGATATTCTAACTATTTTTAATCCCATTCCTATTTTTATAAGATCTCTTAATCAGGTTAAAGTTTCATAGTGAACACATTTTAAATTTCCTGTTTTTTTTTTAATTACTCTTCGAGCTAATTGACTTCTTGATGCTATTTTAGCAGCATTTACTCAAGCTATTCCTTCTTGGACTCAAGGTCTTAAATTGCATTTTTTTTAAGGTCAATTTCAGATACAGAATTAGAATCATTAGCATCATAGCATTAGTTTTCATTAACATCATCAATCTTGAATTCAGCATTATCGATTGCAGAATCATCTCTATCTTAAGATTTGAAGATTTGGGACTTTGTTTAATTATTGAGCATATTAATGACTTGAGATTTAGCTATCTCGTTTACTTCTTGATCTTCCATTTTCATAAATTACAAATTTTATTAATGTCATATAATTGAGATTATCATATATTCAATATAATATTACTAATAATTTAAAAATTGACTATGATTAACTAGTAAATTGAGTTCAAATTAAGGTTTTAAAAAAATGGGCTCAAAATTTGCTAATTTATATAAGCACATTAGAAAAGTAGTTAAATAATTTAAATTATTTAAATAATTAATATGGAAAGTTTTGGAGACGATGTTTAACTTTAAAAAATACTCCTTATTGCGACATTAGTCTTTCAGTTTATTATGACTCTATATTTGAGATCTTTAAACCATTAAATTAGTAAGTAGTTTAGGCTGATGCAAAATATGATAACCCCTATAGAATAACCTCCTTCAAATGGAAAAAATACAGTTAATTAAATGAATAATAATCAAAAATCCGCTTAGAATCCTCAAAATTAACCTAATTTTAAAGATTCTCCTAGTCCTAATTAACCACAGGATGGGGAAAAGCTGGTGGGTTTAATTTAATAAATTGGTCCACTCCAAAAGGATATAAACACACTAGATAGTTAATTTTAGAAAGAAAAAGAGTAACAGAAAAGCCTAATAGAATAATAACTTAAAATAGCTGAATAAAAAATGGAAGAAAAATTCAAGAAAGAAATAAGTTCAGAAATTAAAAAAATGGTTGATGAATTTCAATAAAAAATAGAAAAACTATCTGCAGATTTCTAAAATGATATAAATTAAAAAAATGATAAATTCTAAGAACTAAATGCTGAAATATAGGAACTGAAATAACAAAATGATAATACAATTTAAAAAGAAATAAAATAACTAAATGATTAAATATAGAAACTGAAATAACAAAATGATGATAAAGTTTAAAAAGAAATATAATAACCAAATGCTGAATAATAGGAACTGATATAACAAAATGATGATAAAATTTAAAAAGAAATAAAATAACTAAATGCTTAAATATAGGAACTGAAATAACAAAATGATGATACAATTTAAAAAGAAATAAAATAACTAAATGATTAAATATAGAAACTGAAATAACAAAATGATGATAAAATTTAATAAGAAATATAATAACTAAATGCTTAATAATAGGAACTGATATAACAAAATGATGATAAAATTTAAGAAATGAAATAACTAAATGCTTAAATATAGGAATTGAAATAACAAAATGTTAAAATTTAAGATGAAATAAAATAACTAAATGGCTAATTTTAAAAAGAATAACTAAATGGATAAATATTGGAATTGTAATAACAAAATGTTAAAATTTAAGAGGAAATACAAGTTAAAATAGAATAACTTAATGGTTAATTATAATTGGATATAAATGGTAAACTCTAGGGAATCAAATAACAAATTATTACTCAATATAATTAGGATTTAGAAATTCTGAAATAAAGACAATATGAAGAATATTTAGACCTAAGAAATCAAATATAAAATTTAGGAAATCTCTAAGAAAAAATAGAACAATTAAAAAATGACAATTAAGTAATTAAGGAAGATTTGAAGAATTTGAAGAAAAAAATTCTTCCATCTCCATCTCCATCTCCTCCTCCAATTCCATAAGATGTTACAATAATACCTTCCCTGTATAATAAAACTTGCAGGGCTAGATCTGTGGAGGCTTAGTATAGAGATTTTGTCAGTGACATTTTAAACTAAAAAGATTTGATTTTAGATTATGGTATGAATAAACTTGAAATTAAAACTTAATTAAAGAAATATCTAAATGGTATGAGGAGAGCAAGGGGAGATGGTAACTGCTTTTATACATCTTTTGTGTTTTAGTATTTAGATTTCATGATCAATAAGACAAAAACTGATTAATTTGAATAATTATTTTAACAGATATCAATGCTACCATTTGAAATATATTATTAAAATGAATTGTTTAACCAAACTGATTTTGATATTTTGAGATAGAAATTTGTTGCAATTTGTAAAAAACTAAGATCAGTAAATGAATTAGAGAGATAAAATTTATTTTTTTAATATTTCAAAGATGAAGAAAATGAATTTTATGGTTTATCAATTGTATTCCTAAGAAATTTGGCTTTCAAATTTTGTTTGGAGGATTCAGAAGTTAGTGGAACCTTTTAAACCTTAGGCTTGATTTTAAAGGATTAATTATTAGAATGGGAATTCGATTGCTAAAATAATGAAGTTGTAATAAATTTGCTGAGTCTAAAATTAAACATGTAAATATTATGCTATATATTAGTCAAACGATCCTTTTTTAGATTGAAAACTAAAACTTAAAAATTTTATAATATAATGAGTGTTCTAACCCAATGCTTAAAATCTACTTACTGTTTCGACCTGGACATTATAACATTGGAGTTCCAATAGTCTAATAGCAATAGGAATGATATTATGATTAATATTAGAATTTTATAAAATTTACTAAATCAATATTACTTTGCAATAAGAAAATTGTTATAAAAGAATAAAAATGATATTCAAGAACATCAGAAAACAAAATATTAAAAAGATTGAAAGATTTCTTGTGAAAAAGGGATTTTAAAAGATTTTTGCTTCTTGATTATTCAAAACACCAAAAGCAGTTATATTCTTTTGAAAAAGTGAGAGTAATTTATTGAAAACAAGAAGAGAAATTGAAGAATTAATTCTATTATCGAATATATATGAATTGGATAATTTGTTTTAAATCAATGTTTATCTTATTTTCGTTGGCTGACTTTTTACAGACTAGAACTAAATATTTGAAATAAAAAAGGAAATAAATACTAATAGAGTTCTTTTAAATTAATATTAGATTTTAGCTAATATGATAGGATAAATTCTCAAACATCCTTTATAATTGGGTCTATTTTATTTAGAATTTAAATATGCTTATTCTTGCTTCTTTTTCATATAAACAAGAATTTAATTTATTTATACCCAATCTTATTTTATAAGTTCTAAGTGAAAATGAGAGTTTCCATTTATTATGAAAGGGATATATGTATTGTTTATATGATATTTGAGTTTCTCAAAAAATAGATAAACATATATTAAAGGAAAAAATCAATCAACTTATATTTTTAAGGCATAAACTTTTTTCTTTTTTTTTAAAATCGTATATTCTCTTTTTTTTTTGGGTAATTGTTGCATCTGAGGTAAATCTATTGAAAACTATCTGACTTCTGATTTGCAGTTGTTTGGGCTTGATTGATGCTTTTGTTAAATGTCTGAAAATAAAAAGGAATTTATAGTTTTTTTCCTTAATGGAGTTATAGAACCAGGGCTTTTAAGTTTCAATTAATTAAATGAGGATTGTTCAATTGTACTATTGAAGTAATCACCAGACTTAGCTACATTTGATTGGTTTCTTCTTTAATGGGAATATGGTTTATATTTTGTGTATATAAAGGGCATATATTTACGTTCGGTAATTTAATCTACATTGTTGAAACTAAAAATCTAATCGTTTTGTCTATTTGAAAATTCATTTCTATGAGAAGGGGTTAGTGAATGGAATTTATTAATGTGAAGACTCCTATTTTTGAATTAGCATGAATTCATTAAAATATCGAAAGCACAAAGGAAATAAAAATAATAAATGAGAATAAATCATTTAGTTTTTTTCCAAACATTAGTTGATCTGAGTTTAATTTGATTTAACAAATAAGTAGTTTTATCGAATTTACCGTTTGCATGAATTCTGACTTATTCATGGACACTGCTAGATTTCTATAGAACAGTAGGAGTATTTGAGTAGCGCATGTCTTTTCTTGTAAAATCGTGGATTTGCTAAAATGAAATAGACTAATGAGTTTTGTTCTTATCTTAACTTTTTCTGATAATTCTTTGCAACAATTAAGCTGGAGATCTGATAGCTTTCAGAGATTCCGATCTATAAATCCTCTAATAGTCTTCATTTAAATTTAAATTGAGTTTGAGAGGCGTATCTCTTTTGAAATACTTGTTAGAATAATCAAACGGGATGAGATCCAAAAATTATTTCTTTTAAATCCTATAGAGTTTAACACTTGTAAGACTTTTAGCTGAGTGACTCCTAAATTAGGTAAGTATTTCATCATCCCCAAAGCTCTCCTTGCATCCCAGGATTGAAAGAGGCAATTAACTTTTATTTGATGTTCTAAATAGCTAGATTTAGCCATCAATAATAATATAGACTGAGTCAACGGGATCCCCTTGATGATAGATTACTTAATTAGGAATAAAGTTCAATTCTTGGATCTCAGAAGATAACATCTTTACGGTTTTAGCACTCCATTTCTAAAAGAGTGGAATGGTGCTTAGATTGGAAAACCTTTCTGATTCCCTCTTCTTTGTTTCTTAATCTAAACATATGAGTATTCTTATTTACCAATAATCCTTCTGTATGTTTCTCGCTTGATGACCAGAAGGTGAGATTTCTCAAGCGGTAAGATTGTTTAAGAATGCTATTAATCAAACATCATAACTTATTCTCCAAAATATTGTCCTATTGATAAGTACCCTTGTGGAATCAAATTAGGAAATAGTTTGTCTATGGTCCTTTATCTTAAATTTATTCAGTTTGCTTACATTTCAGTTGGTAAATGTATATTGGCCATTTAATTGTTTGTAAGGATCAGGAATTTTCCAGTAAGTATGAAGTAAAACTTAGAACATTAATCTCCAATATTCACTAGTGGTTCATAAGGAACTGGACATTCATATTGTAGTTCTTTTAGAATTTTATAGTATTGTAAATCTCCAATTTCCTTATTCATATTTCTAAAGAATGTGAAATCTCTCAATTTAGAATGAATTAATTCTATGTCATATTGAGTTTTAAACATTGATCTTTTGTTTACTGATTGTATCAACTAATACATATCATTTTCTGAAATGTTCATAAAATAATAAAATTTCATACTATAAATCGAGCATTCATTAATTAAATGTAATTGGAAAATCCTAAACCACAAATTTTTCAAACCGGCAATTTTGAATTCACTCAATAATATATTAAAAGAAAGCAACAAGAATATGACCCAGATGTTGAAGACCCCATTGATGAATATGAAATTTTTGATTTAGTTAAATCAATTAAGGATCCTGAACATTCATTCACTCTAGAATAATTGAATATAGTCAATCCCAGTGACATTTCAATATAAGGAAATCGAGTAATGGTGTATTTTACTCCTACTATTCCTCATTGTTCTATGGCTCAAACAATTGGACTTACTTTAAAAATTAAATTGATGAGAAGTTTGCCTAAAAATTATAAAATTTATGTCGAAATAAAGCAGAACATGCATATCAAAGAAGTGGAATTAAATAAATTGTTCTAAGACAAAGAAAGAGTGTTGGCTGCCATTGAGAATTAATAATTGTTAAAGATAATCAATTTTGGAATTTAAGGATTAAGATGAACCATGAAACCCCATATTTTTATCATCATTATTTTATTGATAACAAATAATTATAATAATAACAAATGAATAAATTATAAGATTCATAGAAAATATGTCCTAATGGATTAGGTGTTAAAAAAATTTATAAGGATTCGTTATTGATTTAGTAGATTAAGTAGTATTTCTATTTTATTTGGAATGCAAATAATTAAAAAAAATTAAAAAAAATTGTTTTCTCTATAAAAATAGAATTTGAAATTTATGATTGTAAAGATTAATCTAATCATTTGGTATCCGCATTCATCAAATTCAATCTATCAAGTATTGTAAATGATTAATTTAAAATATTACATATCTAGAAGGAAATATTATGTAGATAACAATATTTATAATTTAATAAATAAATTAATTAAAGAGAATGTCGCTGTTATGTTAATAAATAGAATATTTTTAGAGATACTTAACTTTAATTATAGATCTTTAAATAATATAAATATATCATATATATTCGCTTTTGAATTCTGAAGGCTTTTCTTCTACAAATTTAAGATGTCTCGTTAAGCAGTACCTTCTAACATATCTGAATATAATTAACAAGACTAAAACTCCTAAGATGCCGCATAAGATATATATAGCTAGCATCCAATCATCGTTAGTATCATCAGTTTCAGTCAAATCTATTTTTAAATTAATTTTGGCTTATTGGAAGGCCAAATCATAAGCAATCAAATCTTGGAGTTGTTTATTAGATGAAAGACTTTTAATTTGGAGCTAAGAATATATTAAATAGTTTTACATAATCATGAAGAGTAAAGATTGTTCTGTTATTAGAACTATCAACCAAAATAATTGAGTTATTATTATATTATTGAGTGTAATGGAATTTTGAGAATGAAGATCCCAATTAAATCACATTAAAATATGGGATTATTAAAGATGATTTTGACTTGTCTTCAAAATCATAAAAAGCAGCATAATGATCATCGTCATCCTCATAGATGCATACTAATATCTATTGTTCAAATAAATATGTTTAAATTGGAGTTGAGTCTTAAATATTAGTGAATTACAAAACTAACTCTGAGTATTCCTTATTAAAATATATCAAATATATTGGACCATCAACACTTGATATTATATATTAATTTTCCTTGTATTCACATATTTTTGAAAATTCTACAAATTTCAATGCGAAGTTCTATTCAGTCGAAATCAAATTGTCTAATAAATCATATGTGTGTATCTCTTTCAATTCATCGTCTACCATAATCACTTATTTTGATGTTAATAATATTATGTGATCATTGCTGAATTAGAAATCTTTTATATCATCAATTTCTTTTTTTCCATTAAATTTAAAGTTGATATAGATTGAGAATTGTATACCTGATATTGATTAGCTTATCACTCCTGCTTTCTTACCTTAATCAAATTTGATACTAATTAATTAATCTGATGTTGCTGTAAAATCAATATTCTTTATTTATTCTGGTTTTGATTTTAACCCATAATAAATAGACTTGCTGCATACCAAATAAAATTATATTTGATCTTACTCTAAAGAGAAACAATCTTTAGTATTACTTACAATTGTTTAACAATTACTGTCTGAACAAAGAAACAATGTAGGGTTTAAATAAGCAACTTTTTGATTGTTTCCAATATAGATTAGATCAGTCAACCCTGTATTAATCCAACTGGGTTATTGTTAACTCTTACTGACTCTCTAAATGATCTCAAATTCATCTTTAACATTGGTGCCAATATTTGAGATTGGTCCATCAAAAAGCAATGCTTAATCAATTTACACTGTGCCATCATTGATTTGATAATCTGATTCATTGTAAGGCAATGTTTGCAATTTCAAAATGTCACCAATAACCTTAACCTTTACATCAACAGAGTTATTTTAATAATTATTGAAGATTACATTGGCATAGGTGAATCTGGAATAGACATCTCTCTCCACAATAGTATTGGGTGTAAATAATAAAATTGAACTATAAGCAAATAGATTATTATCTATAAGTAATAGTTCATAACTTTCAAATGTCAAAACCAAGAACTTTTATTAAATCTTCTAACTGATGACTTATTAGGGCCAACTTGATAAAGAAAGTTCTGAGTAGATCTAGAATTAAAGTATTTAAGAGTTATTGTAATAATACAAATGAGTTTGAGTTTATAAATATTTCCCATTTTCCAATTTATCCAAATCTAATTTGCCTCTCAATATTCTATTCTCATAAACTTGCGCTGATTTCTCAGTCAACACAATCAATTAACTATTTACATAATTAATATTAATAATTTTGTCTGTAAATGCCTTAGAAAATGATTAATACCAACCATTATTAGAATTGCTGAGTAATAAAAGATTATTTTTTTGATCTACCAATGCAATCTCACTTGAAAAGATACTAAGCATTGTACAACCAACATTAAGTATGCTTTATTGTTACAATTATTGATTGATGATTTAACTTATAATTACTTGAGTATCATTAAGGATAACAACAATACTTTGTTACAATTGAAAAGTAGTCACATTGTTCACTTATTGTAAAAGAGTATTGTTTTGATATATAAACAAACTTCCTTAGGATATATACGCAACTATTATTTGATTATCAACCACAGATCCTTGGACATTTTTACTGTCTGATGGAAAATTTGAAGTTATGAGTGCTTCTTTTTCAAATTTAAGTTTATCATCAACATCAAATTTTTGTGAGTATAACTTTTTGTCTTGTTAATAGATTATCACTATAGATTCATCCAAATAATTCAGTAATGCCAGCAATTGCTTATTTGATATCTATTTTTCAATGTTCCAAGAAATTGGGCCATCAATTTCTCCCTGATCACTTATTACAACATTAGGTCCTGAAACATAATTGACTACTTAATATTGACTGCCATAAAAATCGGTTTCTCCAGAAGCCAAAGCCTATAATCCCTTTTCGACAACATAAAATTAATCGTAAGATAGCTTGAATTAGGATATTTCATTGGATTAAATTAAGTAGTATCCTTTAATGGAGCCAATGGATATTTAATTATTCACCACTTGAATCACATCATCATCATAATTTACTGGATACAATTAACCATATGATACGAAAAAACAAGAATCAAAATTTTTATTAAAGATGCTGGTATTATTTAAAATGATATATCGATTGGTTGCTTAGAGTTGGGATACTTTTAACTGAAATACTTCAATCTCATTTTAATTAACCTTTCTTAAAGTACCACATTAAATATAAAAAGTATCATCTAAAATAGTCATAAATTCTGGAGTATTTTAGCATTTATGATCATATTCGAATATACCATCATCTTATGTATATTAAATCACTTAGTGTTCATTTAGTATATACACATTTTTTTCATCCTTAAGTACTTAAATGTAATTGGCTAAAGTCTATCTTTCCATTTTCAACTATTCGTCAAAAAATGTTAAATATCCTGGAGACAATGCCAGTATTCCACCGTAGAACCCTAAAATTTGAGTGAATTCAAGGTTTTGGTCGTTATTGTATGAAACATAAGTGCCATTCTACAATATAAAATAAATTGAAGTAAACGAGCAATCAACGACAAATTGATTATTTAAGTAGGTTAAGGAAGTGCATTTAACTTATTATTGTATTTCAACACTTTCATATCTAGGTTCTGAATTAAACTAAAATAAATTGTGGATTTTACTTATTTATCATAATATATAGTATAGACTGAGTAAGTGTTCTATGCTTTTTAGGTTAAGATATCGACTCTCTATTAATAATCAAAAGGAGTAAACATAGAAGTTACTTGAATCACACTTTCATTATTATCAAGTTTAAGAACACTCTATAGAGGCAGCTTTTCTTTCTATTAATCATATTTTTCGATTCCTTTAGCGTAATTCTCCAAGATCTATTCAATTATATGCTATTTATACTTTTATCTCATCTTTGTTGAGCACATAAGTTATTGAATACACAACATAGATAAAAGAGAACAAGACAATATACATATAAATATTTACAATTAAATTTATTAGTAAATATAATTAAATAATTCACTTTCTTCTACTCACGGCAGTTATTGGTCTCTTATGTTATTGTTATTACTATTTCGCATCCATACCCATTGCCTCTAAATCCTCTAAAACATTTCATAAGCTAAAAATACCTTTTAAAACAACCCAAACATGAGTATTCTCTGCCAAAGTACTACTAATTATTGCATTCAAATCGACCATTTCTCCATTTTCTAATTTGATCCCTTTCGTCGTCGAATTTATCTATGAGTAGAAGTGACTATGTCTAAATATAGCCACATCTCCTAACCATTTCACTTTCTGCAATCCATCTCCACAATTTATAGCGAATTATTTATCCTTTATATGTACTTCTATTTTCATATTTTATATAAATTAATTTAATCAAAGTTTCTTAAGCAAACTCTTAATTGCATAGATGCCCAACAAAAAATAGTTTTCCTTCCACTTTAATTGTTTATTCTATCTTTTTATCTGATATTCAATTTGATTCAAATTATTTTTTAATTCTGCCAATTTCCTTTATCCATTCCATTACTTTTCTTTTATCTCCATTATTTTATTTTATCTTTATAAATAAACCTATAAAAACTAATCAGCCAACTATTTATAAGTAGATTCCAACTATTTATCAAATTCTTCCTACGTTTTTTGATCATAACTCAGTTTTTTATCAACTTAATTAACTATTGAACAAATATCTGAACTTAAAAAATGATAAACTAAATCTGTTTTCATTTTTAGTTTCTTATTCTTATCGATTCTTTTATTCTGCTCTTCAATCTTTTTTAAGATTATATTCTTTTCTTATTATAATGGTTAATCTTCTATTGGAACTTACTGAATTGCACGAGTAACTTACAAATAGTGTTCATAAAACAACTTTTACTATGAAATCATATGAAATAATTACATCAATTAGATCATTTCTTGACCTGTCTGTAAATATTATGGCTTTTTTCTTAAAGTTTTAAATTAAACTTAAATTCTTCTCTGCTTGTAACTGTAACTCTTAACAGTTATATTTACCTTTGGCTTAGATGGTTTATATTGAACTAACGAGAAAGCAATTATAGTCTTCCTCTTTATATATGGTAATGAGATCCTATTCTTCATCATAATAAGTAAAACTATCTAATTCAAATTGAGGTTCCATTGAGCAGAACAAATCAACAAAGTCTTAATATTTGGAATATCTCTTAAAGGTGTACTCCTTATCTATCAATACCACTTTTAATTTCATAAAAGAAAATATAATTTCTTTTACAAAAGAATACTATTTTTAATAGGAATTAACTTAAATAATAGTTAAAATAATTAAATTATTCTTTTTATATCTTATACTATCATTCTAGCATAGCTAATTTATCTGTATATTCGTTTTATTCTTATTGTTACTAATATTATTATTATTATTATTATTATTATTATTATTATTATTATTATTATTATTATTATTATTAAGGTAATGGAACAAATTATTATTATTATTATTTTGGTTAAGTATTTTTGCATACCTATTATTCGTATTTTCCATATAATTCATTAATCTCATCTTCATCACCAACTTTATATTACTAATACATTTAATTCATTTCATCATTTTTCTATTTCTATTCCTACATATCTGCAAAAGCATCTCTTAACTTGTCTTAATCAATGGATGATTAGATATCTTTCATAACTTGGTTGGTCTAATTGATAATATCTGCCATTTCTTTATCCTATTGTTTTATAATTATATGATTTTACAGACTGCATTTAGTCCACAGAGATGATAGATTTTTCTATAATCTATTCTTTCTCCATTATATTATCAAGGAACTTATCATACAACAATTTTCTTTATAACACAAACTTAGCCTAATCTCTTTTGTTACTTTAAATTAATGTCTATGATTATCAGATTGAGTATACCCTTATTTCCTTTTCGTAGGTCTCGATTTATAGGTCAATTTACTTTCTCTTGTTTCTCAATTCATCTCTATTGTGTTGCAATTTCATTCTCATCTTTTCTCCCTCACTTAATTCCTTCTTTTGTGATGGGAATTAAGATTTTGTTGGGTATGAAGATTACTACTATTTTTATTGTTTCTTCTGCTTCTCCTCTTTACCAAACAAACTGCCCATGTCTGTACTTCTTATTTTATAGATTATTATAATTATATATATATAAGCAAACAATAATACATTTAATAACTATCAATTATGGCATTTTGAATTTTTAATATATTAGCTTTCTGCCACCTGGCAATTCTTTCTCAATAAATCACCAACTATAATAGAGTTCTTTTTTGGATTCTTGAAGACTTCACTTTGAGTATTAGCACTTTTATTTCGTTTTCTTAATTCTATGTAATCATCAACAACATATTTCAACCATTTCCAGGCATATTTAAGGGAGATGGGCTTTTCTTAAGGATGACAGACACGAACCATATCGAGAACACAATTAAGGAATTTGGTTTCATCTGGACCCTGGTGCAATTAATTCGAAAGGATCTCATTCTCTTATTAAGTCTCTCTGTATTTATAGTGGAGATGCTCTAGTTCTTCACTCAGATACTGAGACAATAATACCTCAATTGTTATTGATATTGCATTAATTATAGGACTTTCTCATTAGCAATGCGCAATTATTATTCTAAAGATGTAGATTCAGTTTCATTCTAAAAAAAAATCTCCTCCTTCATAGATAATGGAGAGAACTCTTATGAGTAGCTCATTTTATTAACTGTTAATTTAATTAATTCAAAATATAAATGATTTAAAACGAGTAATTCTCGTCTTAATTAATACTTTTTTTGGTATTTAATGAATTCGAATGAAGTTTTATTTTGGATCAAAAATCCAGTGTCGATTGCAGGTGAAAATATTAATGGGATCTGCTATCTAAGGTTGATTGACGACATTTAGCAAGCCAGTGTTTAACTAATATTTGTTGCAATCGAATATTCTAAAATTTTACATAAACGATAAGTAATGCATATTTATATATTTTGATTCCTTATGATGCAAACAACCCTCAAATGATTCCAGAGAAATTATTAGAAAAAAACAAGCAAGTTCAAATTACCTTAGATAGTCCCAGAAACTTCAGAATTTCCTAAACTAATCCAAAAAAAAAATACGAATTGCAAAACGGAACTATGTTCCAAATTACAAGACAGTATGGAGTCAATGAAGATTACACTCATATTTAGGATCTTTATAGGGGAGTGATCAAAAGTGGGGATTATAAACTACCGTTTTAAGTACCTACTAAATTTGGTATGAATTCTAGTTTTGTATATCGAAACTCTGATGGTATGATCTTATCATTAATATAGGATTGTAATAGGCTAAAATCCAATATAAAATCTATTTAAAAATAAGCGATTTGCAATCAAATTAAGTAATAATATAAAAGAGCATTCCAGTTTATATCAACAGCAGATTTAAATTTACGGAGTAAAAAAGAGAGAGTGAAGGTAATATTGTGTAGTTCTTCTGTATTTATCGGGGCATGATTGAATTAAGTATAAGAACTGCAAAGAACCTTTACAAGCCTGGAGAAGTGCTGGAATTGGAATACATATTAAATACTACTAGAGCTTAAAGATGCATAAGTAAAGTGGAAGTGAAGTTGAATCATTATCTTAGTTTCATAGATGATGATGAAAACGAGAGAGTGATAAAAAATAGCACACTATACACAACAGAATTGCCTGGGAATCCTGCAGGAAAGAGAAGTGATATCCTAAAACATTCAATTACAATTCCTAATGATTTGGCAGCCACCGTCAAGATGGAATTTATAAAAAATCATTACATTTTATAAGTGCAAGCATTTTCAGTAATTAAAGAATATAGAGTATAGGATGGACTACTAACTTCATTGGCTATTCCAGTAATATGTTAAATTCCAATAATAATATTGGAGAGAAGAAAACAGGAGAAACCCAACCTTGATGATTGGAAATTCATTACACAAACACAAGATAACAATTCTTTTTACTTATTCACATCTTAGTAATAATAATTATTTAATTGATAATATATATTAATATTTATTTTTGAAATGATTACTAAATTGGAAGCAAAAAACCAAAACTTTCTAAATTTAAGTAACTAAAGTAATTACTATTATCTAAGAATAGACTGAAGTATTTTTGAAAACTCAGAAAAATAAGCAATCCCTTTTGAAAGTTCATTTAGATCTTAAGTGTATCAACTATACTTAAATGAAGCAATACCTAACAAATAGATCTGAATTTATTAAATTAAATATTCCAGCCAGTGTGAAGAAGTAAAATGCAAAGGTAGATTAACCACAACAACCTTTGTAACCTTAATAACCATTAAATTAAATATAGTAGCCACAAACATCCAATTAACAACAATAACAATAATTTGGTTTTGTTCAAGCCAATTAATTAATGCCCAAGAAAAGATTTCAACCTCCAACCAAAGTGGGTGACAAAGGCAATTAAGAACAATTAGCCTTAAAAAGTGAAAAATAACAAAATAAAACTAACTTTGAAGATAACATTATTAATAAAATTGAATCTGATATCATTGAAATAATGGACAGACCAACTCAGTGGACTGATATTGTGGGTTTGGACCATGTAAGAGATTAAGTAGTTGAAATAGCTTTGTGGCCTTTGGAGAATCCAAAATTATTTGAAGGCATAATAGCTCCAGGAAGTGGATTATTGTTATTTGGGCCACCAGGAACTGGTAAGACTATGATAGGAAAAGCCATAGCAAGTGAAGGAAAAGCGACTTTCTTTTCAATCAAAGCTTCCACACTGACATCTAAGTATGTTGGAGAAGGAGAAAAGACTGTGAGGGCTTTGTTTGCATTAGCCGCTTAAAGATAACCTAGTGTGATATTTTTTGATGAAATCGATTCTCTGTTATGTGCTAGATCAGAAAAGGACAATGAAACAAGTAGACAGATAAAAACAGAATTTATGGTTCAATTAGAAGGAGCAACACGTGGAGGATGTGAAAGAATAGTGTTTATAGGAGCCACAAATAGACCTTAAGAATTAGATGATGCAATCAAAAGGAGATTTTAAAAAAAGATATACATCCCATTGCCTAATAAGGAGGGTAGATAATCATATTTTGAGACCTTGATTGTTAAAGAAGCAAAAGAGGGAAAGAGAATTGAAATGAATAGTTCAGAATTGCAATCCTTGGTAGAATTGACCAAGGGATATTCTGGAGCTGATATTAGGAACTTAAGTAGAGAGGTAGACATTTGTTATTAATTGGTAGGCTTGTATGTATGCTATTAGAGATGCTGCTAAAATGTACACAATCAAAAATTTGAAATTGGATTAAATCAGAGCAACGACTATAGAGGATTTTAAGAGGGCACTCTAAATTGTGAAACCAACAGTGAATCAAAACGATTTGAAAGACTATTTGAAATGGAATTAATAATTTGGATCCTACAATTATGATGCAGAGAGTTTAGATACTTGAATTTTTATGGTAGTTTACATATATTTTTAATTGTCATAGTTTTAGACTTTTTTATCTTTCGTCATCTTGAGAAAAGGCTTATTCAATTGTGATCATACTTTTTCTAGGCCTAACAGATATATTTTATAATTAGCCCAATCTATTCTTGCCTAGAGTTGTCAATCTTGACTTTTATGTTTTCTTCTTTCTCTCATTAACTTTGATATTGATCTATTCTAAGATTTTCTCCAAATTACAATGAGGATAAAAGAATTAATAATCCTATTGTTAATCGTATCTCTCTTTATCCTCTATTATTTGAGACTGGACATATTCTTCCCATAAGATTCTTTTAATTTCTAATTCTCTGGTTATTAGATTTTCATTTAGATGAAAAAATATAGATTATTGATTTGCCTTTTGACCTGAACCCAAAGGGGATTCGAAAGACTACATTTCTTCAATCTTTTATAATTCTACAATTTCAGGAGGTTTAAATTCACTCTTCTTTGCTTTTAAACTCTTCTGTTTAAATTTTTCTACTTTTTTTTATTATCCTTATTGATTTTAACTTTATTAGGATATTTGTCTTAAGGTGATTAGCTTTTATAATCCATTATTGGAAGTTTTGTTTGTTTTACTAGTGCCTACATCACTGTCTTCACTAATTTATTCTTAACTAGGACGCAAAGGTGTTTAATTTTAAAAGGGATTGGACAAATCTTGCTACTATTGATCCCCAGAAGTATCGGAATGAATTTTGTTAAATTACTTTTTTGTGGGCTCTATAAACTGTAAATCCATATTTTTTATTAGTGATTCATCTATAGATTCCTCGCGCATCAAATTGGAATCCAATGCATAAGAGATCAGCTAATATTGGATACCTCCTCTATCTAAAAGTGATTTCTAAATAGTGCGTATAAGCTTACGTGACTTTTAATATAGGATCTTTATTTAAACTATCGTTTTTGTGTGATGTTTTCTTATCTTTTTACAATGACTCTAACATTTGGGTAATAAAACACAAAGGGACACTATAAAACTTAATGATTCTAATAACATAGTTCACACCCCTAGACTTTAACTCTCTCCTTTAATACGACCTTACTTTTGGCTTCCAAGAATTTCTCGTATTCTTATGGATACTATTTCAACAGACTTAAGAACTAGGTTTTATTGATGAGGGCAACTCGCACTGCTGTAATTGCTTTTCCAGCATAAGGTAATCTATCACCGGTAATAAAGAATCTTTCGCCTAAGATATGATTTTTTTTTAAGAGACTAATTTAATGCGTTTTACCAGATTCTACATAAAGAATGTTATTGTTTAATTACAGTTATTCAATTGAATGGACAATGAGATTTCACCCTTCAAAACAAAACACAATTCTTCAACTTCTGTATCAGCTGCACATATCTATTCGTCTGGTGTATATTGTCTCTCTTAAAATAACTAACAAAGTGAATCTAAGAATCTAGCTTAGTCAAACATAATAATATACTCTGGTGAGAAAGTGGATTTAAAGAGTTTGGATTTCATTATATACTTTTTGTAGATATCTATCTTCAATTCATTCTTTAAAGAAGGTTCCAAGGAATTCAGCAATAATTCACATTCACTATCTTAGGAGTGATCTACTTGAATAAAATATTCATAGAATTTCTTGACTTTATTTTGTAATTATTTATTCACTCCTCTCTAACCTATGAATTGTTAAATCAAATTCATTTTGTATCTTTGGTTCTTTTTATTCTCGTTCAATTGACTGAATATTTACCCTATGCTTGAGATTGTGTATGCAAACACAACACTGCTGAACACAGCTACTCCAACAGTGAAAATCTTCTCAACACTACTCTGGGGAGTGATATCACCGTATCCTATTGTCAAAGTTGTTATGGAACTCCAATAGATTGAATTGATGTATCGGATCTGCCAACTCTCATCTTCCAACTCTAAGGCATTTATCCAAGTATTAGTCATTCTATAAGTTATTCAAGTACATCTTACCCATAATCTCCTTACAGAATTCCCAAATAATGCCAAAAACAACCAAAAAGATGAGACAAAAATATAAATTATATCATCAATCTCAACACATCTATCAAAGTCTAGTAATTGGTTCTCAATCCAAATACTTCTTCTAATTAATCCGATAAAAACTTCAATGTCTTTACTTTAACCAATACAGAGAACTCCAACCAATTAGATTACACATAATATGCACTGACCAATAATGGCAATACATTTAATAAATCATAGAAAAATGATTTCTTAAAATAATGTTTGGCCACCTATTTTTAATCCATAATCAGCACTCCATGTTCATAATAGCCTGTCAAAAATGTTAAAACAATCTCCATCAAATACACATAGACTGGCAAATAGTTCAAGATGAAATTCAAAATAGGATCCTAGATTTAAATAAAAAAACAAATCTTCAAAGGGACAAAGACCATCTACCATGATAGCACAAATAACATGAAAAAATCCCATAATATCTTAATAGTACTTGAAGGATCTATTACAAAGAGACATTTATGAACAAATGTCTCCAATCCATTTCTTATTATTTTATAACACACATTGTTCTAAATATATGATTTTATAATTTGCTATTAAATTTAAAACATAAAATTACTTTAAATTTCTTTTTAATCCTCGATCTTATCAGTTTATTCTCTTCGTAAAATTGATAAACTCCTGTTATGTCATTTATGGCAGTGAATTACTTTCGATTCATGAATGAAAATTTAGATTTTTCTGAATTAATTAGAATAGAAATCACAAATCTGACTACATATGTCATAATTCTCAAGGAACCCCTCTTCCATATTATATTCGTCCATCCTCCATCTACAGGCACCAAATCTTTAGTTTCATACTATCTTTCAGCATGTTCAACTTTACTTTATGATCCGAATCTCATAGTCTCAGATCCCTTTTTACTGGGACTTTACTCCGATTCTGATGAACTTATTGAAGGTTCTTCTTCCTAATTATTTTACCCTGCATCCAGAATCGCTCGATTATCTTAATCTAAAATTGTTTATTTCATTCTATTGAATCCTTCGCTTCTTTACGTAGGCAATACTGAAATTTAATCATATTTGGTGTACAATATTAATCTGTTGAATACCGAAACGTAATCAAATTAGAGATATCATGTCCTTCCGTGACTTTTCTCGGGCTTACCATTGGTTGATCCATTTATTAATTTAGTATTAATTCAATAATTTAAATAAGGATTATCAAAAAACATTATCGAAACACTTAAATTCAATAATTATTATTATACATATCATTATTATTAATCATTCTTTATCAATTTGAATAGACTTGATGTTTCTCCTATATTAGAAAATTCTATCGAAAAAGCTTGCAACTAAATTTATCATTAAATCTATCATACCTCTGTCTGTAATTCATGAGTCTTTAACATTTTTTTATTTATCAGATGTTTCAAGAAAATTGTCAAATATTTGATCATTTTCACTTGCTATCCTTTTTCCTATACGTTACCCTTTAACAATTACCTTTATATTTGAGCAAAACTAAATGCAATAATTCACATAATAATTTAGGTACTCCTGAGGCACATGATATTGCTGTACTATCATGCACATCATCTCCAAAACATTTGGTGTAATATCAATTGTAACTAAGGCATCCATTAAACTATTTCTATCCAATATTATTACTCTAGAAACTCAGTATTTGGAAAATGCTTAGTAAACAGGAAAAAGGCTAAATTTAAGTTCTTCTCTATCAAATCGCTTAAATTGAAATTTAATAATCCATTATTTTTTAATAAATTATTATTGTCTTTCTTCAAATACTCTTGAAATTACTAAGTCAATTATTTACACTTCATACCCTTAATTCTTACTCAGACAGTTATTCTAAATGAGCCTTTTGCATAATTTCCTTTATCTGACTTAACTTGTCAGAATTGATCTACAATGAATAATCCCATTGAACATCGTAAACCTAATAGAATTCAATCCAATCACATCGATTCTAAACTATGTTTGGAGTCAATCTTAAAAAATCAATTTCGAATCCATTTTATTATTGAGATAAGTTTTAATTCTACACCAATTTCCTAAATTTTATTATTATATATTACGAAGGTGGATTACTATTTATAGATATACAATTTCTCAATTTAAATATTGAACTTTATGGCTACGGCAATTCTTTATTTATTTATTTATCATTTATCGTTAATTTATCTAATTCTTCTAAAAGGGTCTTTATTGTAAGGCCAGCATACTATCTTATAAGTCTTAATTGAATGCTTTACAAGTTATGGATCTTGAATGAACTTTTTTTCAAATTGATTTAAACTGAAATTTGATATATCCGATAAGCACTGTCTCAATTCAGAATTGTACAACAAGAAAATGATTAAGAGTCTCTATCCCTTTGTAAATATCTAAAACAAAATCATCAATATTTTATACATTATCGCAGAGACCTTAATAAAAGTATAGATAAGGACCATATTCTAATGAAAATTTTCTCACAAAAGCCTTTTGTATATTCTCAAGGGTTCCACTAGCTTCAAGAATAAACTTATTTATTGTTTCAATGTCGGAATTAGAAATCATCAATATTATAATTAATTAATCACATAATACTTATCAAAAAAATACTAGTATGGTTTCCATAAATTTTTATTGTTTAGGAAGCAAAATTTATTATTATTTTTGTTACAACCATAGAGAAAGGGTCATAATAAATATCCTTTTTGTAATTTTTAATATAGCTTATTATCTCTATATGAAAGCAGTCACTTATGAGATTATTCTACTTTTCTTAACTTTATTTTATAATCTAAAAATCCCTTTTCAATCAATTTATGCAAAGACCTCTCTATAATTAATAGCTAATTATTTTCTAATTTTCTTAAGATATTCAAATTTATTTCTCACCAGTATTTAGCGACATAGATCAATCAAGTCTCGTTTATTCCTTATGAAATATAGTATTCTTATTCAAGGTGCTAGTAAAGGTATATACTAATATTTTTGTTATCTTATGATATTATTATCCCATTCAAAGATTTATTTCTTATTATTTCTAAATTAATTTGTTTAGTTTACTAAATTCTAATATGAATAAAACTAAATTAAATTCATTAGATTTTAAAACATTGCCATACTTCAAATGATTCTGAATGAAATCAGCTCCTTCATCAAAGTTCTTGCTCAGTTTAATTCAACATCATCAGTTGCTAGTATCTATTTATGAAAATGATTTTTGTTTAATGATATTGTTTTTCAATACAAAAGTTCTGTTCTCATATTGATTGCGGGACTTCGTATGTTCCTAAAGAAAAGCTTGTTTTATTCGAAAGTTAAGACATGATTCATTTTGGAATTTGAGAATAACGAAATAATTAACAAACCATTTTTATTAATATTTCTAATAATAATATTAATTAACATTACTCAATGCAGCAATAATCAGCTAATTAATAGGAATTAAAATAAATTTTTCAACTTTTCTCATAAGAAAACTCTGATGAAATCAATATTTAATAGATAAACCAATTAATTAAGGAATTAGAGACAATAAATTAAGATTAATAATAGATCAGCGTACCTTATCAACATGGCCGAAAATTAGTCAAAAAAATTAGTTCAACTGATAATTTTGAAGAAATTCCAAAGGATTCCTCACCTAAATCCCCTACTTATGTTTCTGTTACAGAATTGAAGTATAAATCGTTTAAATATAGATATTTCCCAAATAACAAAACTACTATGCATTTTTCAGATTTTTAAGAATTATACAACGAATGCATGTCCAATAAAGATTAGCATGATGAATTACTTGAAAGTGCATTTTCTGTCTTTGACTTTGACAAATGTGGTACAATAGATTCCAAAAAAATAAGAAAGGTCTTCTCTAAATTTAAGGATAACACCAGCGAAGAAGAAATTTAAAGTATGGACATAGTATGACTAAAATAGATGTTTTAAAATTTTGTGGAGTACTTCATGACTAAATGTCTTTGTAAGAATTTAAAGAGTTTTTTAAAAAGAATTTATGAATCCAATATTTTATATATAAATATACAATGATCTTCATTTTTTTTATCCAAGAAACTCCCTTTACTTTTAATAAAATTCATCAATCATATTTTTGAGGTTTTGTTACTTTTATTTGATCAAACTCAATAACTGATTTTTATTTTATCCTAACTTCAACATATGATTTTCTTATGTTAATCTATTGATTTAATCCTATAAGGTCTTTTGAAATTAGATTTATATTTCTAAATTCTTTTTTTACTGTTATTGTATTTTTCTTAATTCTTCATTTTCATACTTTAATTGATAGTATATATCTTCATCAGTCTATGTCTCCTTATGATTTGTTTTTATACTATGCAGTAATTAAAGGTCCTTTCTAATAGAAAATGAAAAAGTATTATTTTATTGAGTATTGAGAAGTTGCTATGGTTACTTCAAAATTTTACATCCTATTGAGTTTTTTGAGTGATAATTGGACTCATGCCATCCTCCTCCAAAATGGAATCATCATCAGCTTCTTAAATTTATTCTTACTCCTCCTATTCTTAATCCTATTTCGACCCTCTCGTAATATTTCCAATCAAAATAAGATGATTGACTCCAGAACTTATTGCATGAAAAACATAATCCTATTCTTTTTATTGTTGAGTTTTCAAATTAATTATAATAGCTTTATTATTCTCGTCCAAAACAATTGCAGACTCTTTACTAAAAGTACTATCTATTTTATTAGTTTAGATATTGATTTGAATTAATTTTTTATCCTAAAAGTAATACAACTTATTTTCTTCGGTCAATAAGGATAGATAATAACCACTAAATATATTTGATACATTATCCATCAATTTATTATCTGGATGCATATACAAACTATTATTATTGTCCAAATAAAATAGGTTGTATGCAGAACAAGCAAATTCCGATACTTAAGAATGAATTTACAAAGTTTGCAAAACTTAATTCTTATATAAGTATAAGCAGTCGTCTTGGAAGATTGTAAAATTCAAACCACATTTAATATTTTGAGCTTGTTTTATGAATTAAGGCTTCAAAACATTATCCCCCCATTGATAACCTTAGTTTTCATCTCTTTATTAATTCATTATTTATACCAGTCAATAAGCAAGAATGATACTCTCCGGCTGCTATCTTTATACAATTCAGATTGTTTATTCCCTAAACTTATATTGGAGAACATGCGACAGAAATATTTTCCACTCCTAGCTATCCCTTTAAATTTGAACCAAAAGCATAAACCTATCCTTCATCTAACAATGAATGATATCAATAAAACTTGTCACAATTAAAGTATGTTCCAAACCGCATGCTATTTCCCGTATTACCATTGGTAGATTAATTTTGGTTAATTTATTTACGTAGTCTTAGTTGTCTATACCACATTAAGACTCTTTGTTATCACCCATGACGTACAAATCTGTGGTAAAATATTCGAAGCTTTAGTCGGTTGTCATTTTATAAAATTAATTTAAATAATAAAAAATTTCAGCAGGAAGGCAGTATATTGGTTACATGTAAAATTCAAATAACTTTATACTTTTTTATCATCAGTTGATATATATTATTTATACATTTATTATTAAGTTAATTAAATTAGTAACAAAATCGCAATATAAATTATGGGTTGTCAATTCTTAATTCCAATAGAATAAAAATCATTATGACGTTATATAACATTGAGTTGATAATTTTATTCATCTCCAAATATTCTAAAAGAGAATTTCTATTTGTCCTCCTTTAAATAATATAATATTATACATCTAATTCATAAATTAAATATAGTACAATTCTAATTCATGCGAAATTATCTCAATTATAAATTCTGCTTCAGGACATGGACTTCTCCATTCCAAAATTCTATTTAAAAATTATTCAGAATCCTTTTCATTTAAATGTTGAATTAGTTCTGATTATCGTACTATTTATTAAATGAAATTTCTTATGAATATCATAGTTAACCCGTAAAAACAATTACCAATGCTACTAATTTGACACCAGAGTTCATTCGATCTTTATGATATCTCAATTTATCTCAATTCAATACATCTATAACAAAATATCTCTTTTAATTCTTATTATTCCTCTTTAGTAAACTCTTGTTAATTATTTAATAAATCAAATGGAATTCCCTTAATGTTTTCCATAAATGTTTCAAAATTTTTATCGTCAGCATTAGTAAGTATTATATCCAAGTATTAATATCCAAAAACTGCATAGAAATTATTGCTATCTTCCCTTGCTTAGCGCTCTGCATTGATATATTCTAAAAGTTTAGTTTATTCTAGAGAATATTATATTAATTTTAGTGATTCAGCAGGTCCAATAAAATAATCTTTTAGTGAATTTTAAGCAAATTAATTATTTAAATCTTCATATAATAAGTTGATTTATTTCAATTTCAAACATTTAAGCTTCGTTTTAATTTGATCAAAGTTGTAACTATTATTCTCACATTCACCAAATTACTCATTTAAACATTCAATAACTATATTAATATTTGATTAAGAATCATCTGATTACTGATTTGTTTATGAATATTTTCTAAAAGTTTCGTATTTTGGTGAATTATTATGGCTCACAAAGATTTATTCTTAAATATTTTAATAAATGATATCATTTATATCGCTTTTAAGTTATTAAGATATTAATTTATATAATTTTTCGAACTCTTATGAGATTAATTCTTTAATCTGATTTTCTAAATTCTAATCATATGATCGTAAATTTATATATTTTTTGTTAATAGCATTAATTTATTAATCTAATACATCCTCAGTTGAAGATTTAGATTTTTTATGAACTCCATTCTATTTTTTGTTTTCCCATTAGAAAATGGTTTTTTATATATTTTCTATCTCAAGAGATTACTTTCTAAGTTATTGCTGCAATTAATTAATAACTTACCCTTATTAAGTTATTTGTATTTAAAAATCGTTATTCTAATCTTGTTAGGTTGCTTATCTAATCATTCTTTGATTTCGTTTTAAATCATACTATTTTATTATATTTTTTATTTCATTAACGGTTAATTTTGCTTTGCTAATGAAATTCTAATATTTTAACGATTTCTTTAAAGAATTAACTGTCTATAAATTAGTCGATTACTATTCATTTGCTTCCTCTAAGCAGTCATTCATAGTGCTTTATTAATTTTTTATTAATATTAAAATAACTTATTAATTTTCTTCCAATATTTGCTTATCTTTAAGGCTATTTCTTATTAAAATAATTTAGTAAACAGACCAATCATTATCTCATCCAATTCCAAAGGGAAACCAACAAATTTAATAAATAAAATAATAAGAATGCAATTTTTATGAATTGGAAAAAGAAATAAATAATGTTGTAACTAATGGATTATCAACCAAAAGGGGTATAAATCTAGAAACGGGAAAATAAATTTAACAAATATTTACTCTAGTCTCAACTTAAAGGGATATTAACTTTGAACTTAATTTGTTTTCTATATACTCATTTTCATCGAGGAAATATGTGACTAAATTAAAAAAACTTAAAATAATTATCAAAAATTGAGTCTATTCATCAAATACAACAACTTCACATGAATTGATTCTATTTTTAAAATCTGAAGCAAGGCAAAATTACATTACTAAGAATTTCTATTCATAAAGAAATTAAATAAAATGGATTTCTGGATTCCAACAATAAACATAGTTTAATTCTTCATTATTTTCAATTTCACCTTTATCATATTGAAGACTCACTTAATTTATCAAATAGAAGTTTTAATTTGATATTAATAATTGAGTTGTAGTTATTTGTGAAAATAGAAATAATATGTGCAAATTAGCCCGATGTTGAGACCATCATATATTCTATTGCTGATTTGATTTGATAAATAGAAATTATAATCATAAGAAGTATTTACGTTTATATTAACATTATTTAACTTTATGATCAAATTTTGTCTAAACTTGAAAAACTATTTTTCAAGTTCAATTCTTCCTTACAATCCAAAGGGATATAAAAATATTTAAAAATATATTGAACACCATGAATTAATATAAAAAAGATTAAGTACTTTGGAAATTCAAGAGGATCAATTTATATTTGCATTCAATAATTTTATTGATTCTATTTAAGATGAAGACTTTAATGAATTTGCTAGAGAGGTTTGTGATTAAAAATTAGCAAATTCGTTTATTGAAGGACTTTAAAGAATTCAAAATGAAGAATTAAAATTTGAAAAAATAGTTGATGATGAAACGGAAGAATAAATATACTTTACAGATATGAATATATTTGTCAATGTGAACAGGAATGTCTCTTTATTTGATCATGTAAAAATACTTGAAAAGTTTAGGAAATTTTATTAAATAAACCAAATAAATTTCCAAAAGTGACTGCATTATTTTCTTAAGGAGAAGAAATAATGGTATGCTTGTCTATAGGAGCATTAATAAAATCTAAAGTAAGCCTCATAATATCTGACTAAAAAGTATTTATTTTGAAAAATTGATAAGTATGAACCTGAAAACTTTCATCATGTTAGATTTATGGTACTCAAGGATGAATTTGACTAAAATGGTTTTTTTTAAACCTTAAAAATGGCATTTCTTTTAAATGAAAAATAAATGTTTTTAGGTCAAAATCCTACCTGGAAAATAATTGATATTGATAAATATTTGCAAAAATAATATCCCTAGTTCTTTTGAACAATATAAATATTAACATTAAATAATTACAATATTATACATTTATATACAAACAATATTGCATGCTAATTTAGTTATTTAAGTCATAATTATTGTCAATATTCAAAGTGGAGGAGTAGGAGTTAGTATATTTTTACTAAATATAATTGATCTTAAAATAAAAAATATTTGCCATTTATTGACACAAAGCAGTATTTTAATTCTCAATTTATAAGTAATAGAATAAAGGTGAATAAAGTTTGAGATAATAAAAGAATTTATATATATATATATTTATATTATAAAAATGAACGAATTTTCGTTGATAGAATTAGATGTAAAAAAGTAGTTTGTAAAGGTTATAAAATAATTAATGAGTATTGATATTCAAAATATTAAAACAATTAAATAAAGGGGGGAATATAAAAAAATAAAATCCGAATTAAAATTTTAAATATTATAAGAACTTTAATTTAATAGTATTAAAGAATTATCTAAGAAATATGGCATTGCTAGATAAACAATTGCTTCATTTAAGAAAGCAAAGGAACACATATACGACAATTTTAAGAACAAAGTCTTAACTTTAATCTATGATTTTGTTGATATGCGTTTGGAGGGTACTCCAAGTTTATCAGAGCAAGCCATAAAGAAAGATATTAAATTGTTAATAAAGACTAGAGAATATTTTAATTATAATGATATGAATTCATTAAGTAAATTTATTCCAGAAACAAAGAGAAATTCTTAGAAAAAAAGAATTATTCGATTTGTTATGAAATAGTCTTTGTTGTATTTTAATTAATAAAAGTAAAAGTAAAAATAATTGAGTAAAGGTAATGTTGAGATTCCTCAATAATAATAGTAAATTATTTAAATTTAAGATCAAATTACTTAGTAATAGAATTCTGAGTAAGCAGTCTTAACTAATTTTCCTTATTGGTATGTAGATGAGAGTTCATAGTTAGACTTTGATTTGTCTAATGAATGGAAAATTGAATGAACTTGAGTTTTTTTTATATATATTAATTGTACATTAAATAAATTTGTTTCAAATTTTCGTAATATATTCTTAATATAAATATAAAAAAAAGAATAAATTTGAATAGTTTGAAAGTGTGAATGAAAAAAAGTAAGAAAGATTGATTTGTCATTATTAAGAACTATGTTACTATTAAGAGTTATGTTATTATTAATGAATACTATTGATTTGAAAATGTAAATATAATTATTTATTATTAAATAGATTGATGATGAAAAAGCAAAACAACTAATTGAAAGTAGATAATGTAATGTGATTAATATTAAAAATACTTATGAATTAAGAATTAAATCAAATTATTTGGAGGAAATTTTATTTAGGTATTGAGTTAGATAAAGCAGAATAAAAATATGTCGTTTCTCTTCTACCTATAAATTCAAAGGGTATTAGAATAGATATGTATGTTTACTCAAATGTTTCAAAAAAAATGTATTATATTCATTTATTTGAAACTAAGCAAGATGTATTAAAGTATTATTTGAATTTATTTCTTATATTTAAGGAGGAAATTAAAGAATCTCTATAATTAAAAGATCAATTATGTAGATATGATGAAAAATATTAAAATAATCTAGCACTTTTTAGAACTAGAGGATTAAAATTAAAAAGTATGAGAAAACTAATTGAGAGCTTTGTAAATAACAAACCTATATGCACAGGAATATTTGATACAAAATAATATGTAATCATAATGATTAATTTAGTTATTAAGAAATAATATTTCATGTACTTTTGATATTAATTTACATTGGGAACCAGAAACACATAGACCTGTTTTATTAGATGATAGAATGGCATTTTTAAAAGAAGAAGAAAAAACAATTTACAAAAAAGATGAAGTTTAATAATTATCTTGGATCTCTTATAAATTACATTAATCAGAAGTGAAAAAAAAAAAAGTCATTATTTTAGAAGATAACGAATAAAAAATTGAGTTTATTAAAATTGATTGAACATTTATGTATTTTATAATTAAGTCAATCTGAATCTTATGATCCTTGAATATTTCCTTGAATTTAATAATAATTATCTCCAATTTTCTACATTTATTTTTTTGCTTTAACTCTTCTTTAATGCCAAAGTGTTAATACAATACTCAATATGATATGTAGCTTTTATAAATATCAGTTTTACAATTAATGCAACAATAATAGCTTCCTTCAATTTCTTTGGATCTGATTTCGGATATTTATAAAAGTTTGGTTAAAATTCAACTATAAAATAAAGCGATATCTAATTAGTATTATTACTATTATATTTACAAAAAAAGGAATTGCAAAAACACAAACCACATTCATAAATTTTACACAATCCATTTTTTATTTATATTAATTATTTATTTAATCACATTGTTTTCTTATTCCTTATTCTATATATAATTCATTCTATCATCTATTCATTACCATCCTCAATCCAATCAATCATCATCATAACTAACCATAGTCAAAAAAAAATGGCGCATACAAAGGATTCAGATTTAATTAATAGCAACACTCAAACAAATTTGATTGATATATTTACAAAATTTATAGAAGGCTAGTTTAAATGTAGAAAATAATAAAAAGAATGATTAATATTCATAATTTTAGTATATATATATCAATTTTACACCTAAATATCGATAAAATTCTTATTTATTTTCATGCATTAAAACATGATAATTCTTGAAAACCTATTTAATTCTCATTCTATTTAGTACATAGATAAGCATGCTAATCGTTACACATTTTTTTTTGTGCTTTTATCTTGCAATTCAATAAAGCATAATTTAATGCAAGGAGTAGGCCAAAAATACTTATATGAAGTTAAAAAACAGATTTATGTGTTTCTGAAATAATTTTAGTAATTTAAAACTACAATTATATAATTATGATCAATTTTTATATTTTGCTATATTTCTATTATTCGTAATTAATAATAATAGTATTTGAATTATATTCAATGTTAATTGAGTACTAAAAAGCAATTATTGTATATTAAAAAATAATTATTATTATAATAATATAAATTTAACTTATTACAATTCTAGGATTTATTCATTTTCGAAAAGGGTTTCTTAACTTTGGGAATTGCATTTTTTACAGTCTTAAATAAAATGGATGTTTACTAATTAGTAATTGAAAGATCAGGTTTTATAAAATATTCATGTTTCAAACAACAATTTGCCTTAGGTCGAGTAGATTATTGAGAAAGCATAGATTTAAGTAAGTCTAAAGTTAAAGGACATGTGATTGATTTGTTTAGTTTATAAGCATTCTATGAATTTAAATCTTTTAATTGTTTTTATTCTAAAAATTAAGGATATATTCTAGTTCCAGACAATAAAATATGAAATATGCCTCCGACGCTATAAATATCGCTAGAGTAATCATAGTATTGATCATTCAAAATTTCAGGGGCGATATATCCAAAAGTACCACATTTGACTGATTTTGCTTTTGAATCATTTATAAATGCAGCACATCCAAAATCAATTATTTTCAATGATTTAATATTATTAAATTCTGTAAACATAATATTGTCTAATTTAATGTCTCGATGGATTATTTCTAATTTTTGAAGATGTCGTAAGCCCTTTAAAATTTATTTCATGATAATTTTAACTTCCGAATCTGTTAATTAAAATTACTTTTAAACTAAAAAATCATAAAGTGTTCCACCTGCTTAATATTCAAAAACGAGTGCAATTAGCTCATGTTCTATAAATAAGTCAATTAATGATATTATGTTTCTATGTGGAAGATTAGATAATTTACAATTTGTCTAAATTTCTGGGACAATATCTTCCTATGAAGTTAAAATAATTTTTACAAAATTTATCATCTTTCCTTCATAAATCTTGGCAACTTTTTTCTAATTAGAACCAATTTCTTGACAAAGTACAACCTTAAAATATCAACTGAAATTACTTTGCATAGTTTGCTTTCCTTTACTATTCTTTCAACCATATATTTTTTATAGAAGTGGCATTCATTATGTGCAATCATCATCTTAGTAGAAGCAGTAGCCTTTGAATTCTTTTCATAACTTTCTAAATATTTCTAGTTCGAATAAATGGATGTATTTGAGTAGCTAATAAATCTAGAATGTAGGCTTAAATATGTATACCTATTCTCTGTCTCTTAGGTTGTTCGATTACTATATTGCTATTTTAAGACTGGCCCAATTTCTTCCTGGTCTTAAATGTATTAGTATACTGAAGCCAATTAGTTTTTATTTTGAAACTTGCTGTTGCCTTCTTTCGATTAAAACTAATGATGAAGATTAANAAAAAAAAATGGCGCATACAAAGGATTCAGATTTAATTAATAGCAACACTCAAACAAATTTGATTGATATATTTACAAAATTTATAGAAGGCTAGTTTAAATGTAGAAAATAATAAAAAGAATGATTAATATTCATAATTTTAGTATATATATATCAATTTTACACCTAAATATCGATAAAATTCTTATTTATTTTCATGCATTAAAACATGATAATTCTTGAAAACCTATTTAATTCTCATTCTATTTAGTACATAGATAAGCATGCTAATCGTTACACATTTTTTTTTGTGCTTTTATCTTGCAATTCAATAAAGCATAATTTAATGCAAGGAGTAGGCCAAAAATACTTATATGAAGTTAAAAAACAGATTTATGTGTTTCTGAAATAATTTTAGTAATTTAAAACTACAATTATATAATTATGATCAATTTTTATATTTTGCTATATTTCTATTATTCGTAATTAATAATAATAGTATTTGAATTATATTCAATGTTAATTGAGTACTAAAAAGCAATTATTGTATATTAAAAAATAATTATTATTATAATAATATAAATTTAACTTATTACAATTCTAGGATTTATTCATTTTCGAAAAGGGTTTCTTAACTTTGGGAATTGCATTTTTTACAGTCTTAAATAAAATGGATGTTTACTAATTAGTAATTGAAAGATCAGGTTTTATAAAATATTCATGTTTCAAACAACAATTTGCCTTAGGTCGAGTAGATTATTGAGAAAGCATAGATTTAAGTAAGTCTAAAGTTAAAGGACATGTGATTGATTTGTTTAGTTTATAAGCATTCTATGAATTTAAATCTTTTAATTGTTTTTATTCTAAAAATTAAGGATATATTCTAGTTCCAGACAATAAAATATGAAATATGCCTCCGACGCTATAAATATCGCTAGAGTAATCATAGTATTGATCATTCAAAATTTCAGGGGCGATATATCCAAAAGTACCACATTTGACTGATTTTGCTTTTGAATCATTTATAAATGCAGCACATCCAAAATCAATTATTTTCAATGATTTAATATTATTAAATTCTGTAAACATAATATTGTCTAATTTAATGTCTCGATGGATTATTTCTAATTTTTGAAGATGTCGTAAGCCCTTTAAAATTTATTTCATGATAATTTTAACTTCCGAATCTGTTAATTAAAATTACTTTTAAACTAAAAAATCATAAAGTGTTCCACCTGCTTAATATTCAAAAACGAGTGCAATTAGCTCATGTTCTATAAATAAGTCAATTAATGATATTATGTTTCTATGTGGAAGATTAGATAATTTACAATTTGTCTAAATTTCTGGGACAATATCTTCCTATGAAGTTAAAATAATTTTTACAAAATTTATCATCTTTCCTTCATAAATCTTGGCAACTTTTTTCTAATTAGAACCAATTTCTTGACAAAGTACAACCTTAAAATATCAACTGAAATTACTTTGCATAGTTTGCTTTCCTTTACTATTCTTTCAACCATATATTTTTTATAGAAGTGGCATTCATTATGTGCAATCATCATCTTAGTAGAAGCAGTAGCCTTTGAATTCTTTTCATAACTTTCTAAATATTTCTAGTTCGAATAAATGGATGTATTTGAGTAGCTAATAAATCTAGAATGTAGGCTTAAATATGTATACCTATTCTCTGTCTCTTAGGTTGTTCGATTACTATATTGCTATTTTAAGACTGGCCCAATTTCTTCCTGGTCTTAAATGTATTAGTATACTGAAGCCAATTAGTTTTTATTTTGAAACTTGCTGTTGCCTTCTTTCGATTAAAACTAATGATGAAGATTAAGATTTTGAGTACTCATATATTTTTTAAATATAGATAAAATTTAATACAAATACTTAAATAAAATTTGATTTTGATAGGAAAAATTATTTAATCAAACAATTCGACTTTCTTGCATTTTAATTATTTTCCACTTTTCAGCCTTGTTATAGTTATTTATGATTCAAAATAAATTTCGAACGCTTCAAATTTAACAACTTAGATTATTTTTTTTAACTAAAAACATAATCTAATTAAATTTTTATTTTCATAAATGATATCCAGGTCTCATTTGCAAAATTTGAATGTTGAGGATAATTGATGTCTATTAATAAAAAATTATTAATAATTTAAATAATCCAAATGATATATCTATATTATTTTGAATAATTCCATGAGAAATATTTAGAAATTAAAAAAAAAAAAGTAAGTATATGCATTAATTTAAAGGTTATATATAATAGATTTTAAGTCAAAACTTTTAAAGAAATTTATTTTTTATTTCTATTTTTAGGAATTTTAAGAAGTAATTTAATTTTAATATACACTAAAAATCAATTATAAAAAAAATTAATTATTTATTCGAAGTGTTTCCTTTTGATTTGGTTAAACACTATAGCAATTTCAAGCAGCTTCCCATAGTCTGAAGAAAGCTAAGAAGCTTGAGTTATTCGATTAATTTTATATAGAAATATAATGAATGATGAATATTAAAATAATCTGAATTAAACTTAAATTATAAGACATTTAATTTTCTGGTTTAAGAATAGATTCTAATTCCTCTGAGTCGATTTGTTTCAATTTTAAATATGTAACACTTCACTTTATTATAATCTTAAACTAAATATTTTGCTTTATAATAATATCAAATTAAGAATAAAAAGTCTTCTTTTCAAAATACAAACATAATCATAGTTAAGCCATTTTAGATATCTTAAAGAAATATATTATAAATTTATAATTAATTGTGTTGATTTTGATAAAAAATCAATCAAAATAAAACTATAAAATACTTAGAATTGTTCACTCAATTTAATATGAACATTTATGGATAATCAAATAGAAAATAAAAAATTGCAACTTGCAACTTGCTAATTTATTATTCTATTAAGATGTGAAACAGATTACCCATAACAAAAACAGATATAACGACTTAGTTTATTGGAATATGATAAAATAAGTTTGAATAATTTAAATATCTCTCAATGAAAATTAAGATCTAAATTTGAAATTAAACAAGCATCAACA